ACAGTACACCTCTCTGAACAGTGTCTGGGAGGCTGTGGTTGCTGCTGCACGCAATGTTGATGGTGAACAGATCAAAACACTGACAGAATCCATGGATGGCAGGCTTTTGAGTGTCCTTGCAAAGAAAGGTGGCTATATTGGTCACTGATTTGTTTTTGTTTTGTTTTTGAATGTCAGAAATGTATATTTGTGAATGTTGAGATGTTATATTGGTTTCACTGGTAATAATAAATAATTGAAATGGGTATATATTTGTTTTTTGTTAAGTTGCCTAATAATTATGCACAGTAATAGTCACCTGCACACACAGATATCCCCCTAACATAGCTAAAACTAAAAACAAACTAAAACTACTTCCAAAAATATTCAGCTTTGATATTAATGAGTTTTTTGGGTTCATTGAGAACATGGTTGTTGTTCAATAATAAAATTAATCCTCAAAAATACAACTTGCCTAATAATTCTGCACTCCCTGTATAATTTATTATATTGTGAATGGATTAAAAGATACTCACAATATATTTTTTACTTATTCTAGCCATTGAAGCTCTGCTGAAAATGGCGCTGCAACGATCGGGCGGCATACCTACGCAGCCTGAATACAGATCAGATCACACTTTTGGACCTACCCTTAGTCGCGCAATTAGCAAGTATTATATAATGTGATTTCAGCATAGCATGTCACAATTAGACTAGCTAGTAGTTAAATGCTTGCTAGAGTACTCATACTGTCAGAATGCACTGCTACTTAGTCTTGCTATCCATTACGTTAGCCTACTCAGCATGTTTCAGCTTGTTTAAAATATAAAACTGGGCACATGTCCTCGACTACCCCAAATGTTAAGCGTGATAATGTGCTTGAGGATTGCCGTTGGGGTACCTCAAGCCTGTTTGTACTACTCCTATGCACTGCAAAAAAAGACCAGTAAGGCATCCAGACCACTTCATCTCAATTAGTTTGAATCCTGTAATGTTTTGAGTGTGAAAGAAACACTATAGCTTTAGAAATGCACACATGGATTCCTAACGCTATAGTTTTACTATACCTATGTTGGTGTCCAATCCCCCCTGTGAGGGTTTAAAAGGTGAGTAGTATTTACATTTACGCCCTCCATGTTTGGGCTTTCCACGGCTGCTCTACTACCTGGCTAACATCTTCAAGACTGATCTCCCCATAGGGCAATGAAATGTGTACATTTTGTATGCATGTCTGTGTATGTATCTGTGTGTCTGTATTTGTATCTGTGTGTCACTGTGTGTGTCTGTTTATCTGCATGTGTGTCTGCTGCATTCAAATTCCACTACACACAAATACATCCCTATGTTCAAACGTTAACACTACATACAGACACACCCCTGCATTGAAAGAAATACACTACACACAAGTAAACCACTGCTTTCACATGGCAACAGGATATCAAAAATACACAACACTACACACAAATACATTCACACAAACATACTCCATACAAAAACATGCTTACATTAAAACGTAAAAACACTGCTCAGTGCTAAATACAGCCCTGCAAGTACAAGCCAAGGGTAGATTCCCAGCTGACAAAATGTTGTGGGAGTTGTACGATACACAAGAATCTACCTTTTTTTCCACCCTTGTGATAGGGTTGATCCCCCCCCCCCCCCACAAATTCTTACAACAGGGCACTTGTGACCTTTTTTTACACAACTGAATAGCAGTATATTGTGTACATATTAATGATAAAGAAATATCTAAAAAATAAAATGATAATGTTATATAATTTACATTTTTCAGTTAGAGACGTAGTAACAGAAGTGAGGGTTAAAAGCAGGGTGACAACTGTGAGCATCAGTTTATTGTCATTAAAGAATGAGAGGCATATTCACTAGCAGCTCACACAGATTATTTAATTGACATACAGCTCATGTCCAGTAATTCCTTTTGAAAAGGAGTAATTTATTTTTTAGATAACTTACTTTTAAATGTATATATTTAAAAGGGTTAATCCAACCATTTTTAATAAAAATAATATTTTTAAACTATTATTATTATTTATTATTGGGCATTAGTGATTCGTTCCCACCTTAAAATCATTTAAAAGAAAGAATACACTTACCTGGAATCCAGCACTGGTCAAAGCTCTCCATGCTAGTTTCCATGCCCCATCTGACATCACAGCCTCTCTTTCTGTGGTCCAATCAAATGTTTTTTTATAGAGAAGCATTTGATTGGACTGTTCTTCCGCCTCCCTAAACCAGGTAGGGGACAGGGTGGACAGAGGGGACAGATAAAGGGTGAAAAAATAAAAATGGAGTGTGATGGGGAGGTGGAGAATCCAATTTAAGGAGAGAGAAGAGATCACAGCTGACAACATGAGTTGCCAGCACACTGACAACAAACAAATTTTTAGCACAGAATTACTTTAGACAGTCGGGAACTGTTCTGGGGTTGTAACTAGCCCCTGGTAGAAAAGTGCAAATATCTCTAAATGTGCACCATTTCAAGCAGAAACACTGCACATGCACCTATCACCATAACTACTTCTAAAAAACACAAATGGTTATGGAAGTTAGAGTAACACTTTAACGCATTATGTAATGCAACACAAATATAAATTTAAAATTCCACTGCCAAAAAACAATAAATAAATAAATCACTATTTATTAGATATACCCCTAATGAAAACAAGCGGATATTTAATTATGCATTAATTAGGGGTATTTCTAAAAACAGCTTGCACATGCTGCAGATAATCAGCCTGCAGCCATTGTAATCATTACCCTTCTAACCCCACCCATTGTTTCTGTCCAATCACAGACTTCCCAATGCAGCTCGATGAGACATCTTTGCAAGGCAGGTGCTGTGGGCAATTGGTGCCCCTTGAGCTAAGCTCCACTGAGCTAACCAGGAAGTATAAAGACTGATTGTCTGATTGACAGTTTAGGGGTGTAACAATGTTAATTTATACATTTGCCAACTTCTATTAAAATATGCACATTTTGTAAATGTAAAAAAAGACAACACTGTCATTTAACACAAATAAAGGACTTCAGCAAGCTAAAGTGCTTTAGGTGTCTAAAGTGCTCATTTAAAGGGAAACTCCAGTGCCAGGAAAACAATCCGTTTTCCTGGCACTGCAGGTACCCTCTCCCTCCCACCCTCCCAATCCCTGGTTGCTGAAGGGGTGAAAACCCCTTAAGTAACTTACCAGACGCAGCGACGATGTCCCACGTCGCTGCTTCTTCCTCCGCTGCCGCTCCTCCTAGTGATTGTGTCGGCCGGTGGGCGAGACTGATCCCGCCCACCGGCCAGGGAGACCTAATGCGCATGCTTTTCAATGCTTTCCTATGGGGAAATGAGCGACGCTGGCGGTCCTGTGCTATGATCCAGGAAGTGCCCTCTAGTGGCTGTGTAGTAGACAGCCACTAGAGGTAGAGGTAGAGTTAACCCTGCAAGGTAATTATTGCAGTTTATAAAAAACTGCAATAATTACACTTGCAGGGTTAAGAGTAGTGGGAGTTGGCACCCAGACCACTCCAATAATTTAAGGAAGGGGACATCCTATATGAGATTTTGTGCATTGATTAGATCATTCCGAACATGACATGAGAGCAGAGATTAAATAAGTAACAGCATTATATTGTACAGAAATGGCACATAGAGAATGAGATAAAGATCACATATAAAATAAACAGGAAAAAAACAAGAGGCAAAAGCTGATAAAAAACTGCAAAAGCTCATAGAGATGTGACTACAAATAATATTTCTGTAGGCAGGGTGGAAAGAATAAACATTGGTAGGGATATTTAATGCTAGCAACAGGACAAAGCAGGCTCAATCAAGTTTTAACGTGTCAAGGTTGTAAAGAGCTAAATAGGGTGATTTTTTCCCACATACATGAGAAGTTATCAGGTAGAGATTATTGTCGTGTAGTGCACAGGTTTATAAACTTGCCAACATTTTTACTTAGTTTTTTGGGGGTTTTTTTGTACTGAATGAACAAACTTTGCTTTGGTAAAATGCGCTAATTTGCAAGAAATAGGCTTGATAATGACTTAATGATTCAATGCTTTCCTGTGGGAAAGATTGAATGTGTTTGTCGCAAATGCACATTAGGTCCGGATGTCGTGGGAGGCCGAGAGGTAAGTAGTGCTGAGAGAGCCTCGGCTTTGAAAAAAGGTAAGTAAAACTTAATGTATTTATTTTAATTTTAATGCACTTGGGAGGGAAGGGGGATACCTGAGAAAGAGTAGGAACACTAGAGTTATGAATACAGATTTATATTCGTAATGCCACAGCATTCCATTAAATACAAAAAAAATCCAAAGTAGACAGTTTTCCTTTAACAGATATTTATGTTGCAATCTTAACTAGTGAAAATGTTATGAGATGTAATTGCAACGCATTACATATGTTCGCTGATCGGTATGGTTTTATATCTCGAGAAAATAATTTTATTATACATTATACTCATATAGCATGGCACACAATGAATGCATCCCATTGTAATGGCAACAGCTCAGCTACAAGGAATAAATACTCCTCCAAAAAAACAGATACCTTATTTAAAACATAAAAATATCCTTTATAATCAGATTGATACTTGGAATACTACATATCACTACAGTGTCCATGATATACTACATCACTTGAAACCACAAAGCAACCATTAAATCAATGGGTAGCACTGCAATACTTGGCGACCCAAGAAATAAATCCAGTAACCTGAGTTCCTCTCCTCCTGTCAGTCTGTGTTCTTGAAGAAGGAATTCGAAAACATGATAATGCAGTTTCAACTTGCTTTCCTCCCCTCTAACCAGGACCCCGGTGCATAATAAGTAGAGGCAAAAAAATGAATACAATTTAAATCAATCCGGATGCTTTATATTGTATATTATCAAAATAGCCAAATTAGAGAAATTCTCCAAGATAATTTAATTTTAATTTGAGATATTTCAGGTCTTAAAGTTAAAGCTCACAACAATCCTCACTGGAATGAGCGCTGGGTTTTTTGTCTTAGGAGCTGACTAGTGATTTATGGAAAATAGCCTTTTCTGCAATTTGGTCTGTTAAAGATTGGATGTCAGCCTTTGATTCTGTTACGACTTCTATAAATCAACCCTGAATGAACATACATGTACCACCCAGACAGACAGTGAAATTCCATAATGGAAATGTTCTTGAAAGCAGCTAAACTCTCTTTTCAGATGGCGTTTCCATTATTTTGTCCACCTAGTGTACATTGTATGAAGCAAGTTCCTCAACAACATAGTACTGCAAACCTGGCAGACCCAAAGAACACCAAACATGTAAAAATATATTCATTCATATATTAAAAAAGTACAGTTTAGGTGGTGGAGCCTGCTTGCAGACCTAACCAGACACCATTTCTCCTCAAGGAAAACCTACAATCTGATTTATATTGGCGAACCAGAAGCCAATCCAGCCTGATAAGCCTCATACCTGGACTCTTCTGCCTAGGCTTCATCGATTGATGCCTTTTTTCCAGACCTAAAAACAGCCTAAACGACGACGCAGATCTGGGGCCAACCCCAGCCTTAATGGTCCGCCTTAGTAGAGAATTTGCTGAACGCGCGAGAGCCGCTACACCTCCCCCACCGCCTGCTTGCGGGCTATGGGTCGCAGATCACAAAAACCCACCTCTGGGAAGACAACAGAGATATCGGGGCAATGCTGCAAAGGCCTGTACAGCTCAGACAAACTTCAGCGGGGGATCGGCGGGAGGCAGCCCCCGAAATGGAAGACCGGGAACTGGAGAAGCCGCTAAACTCTCAGGCAATACACACCAAAACTTCGGAATCCTTCGATGACTTAGCCCCAACCACAAAATGAGACCTGAAGGTCCTTCTGGCCGACATCCACAAGCTACTGGCAGCTGATTTTGCAATAATCAAAATGGAGCTGCAAGCAGTCACTGAAAGAGTAAGGGTCACTGAGGAAAACGTTGTGGACACCCAAACTAACATGACAGCAGTACAGGACTCACCAGAGGATCCGGTCTGCCAGAATCATAGCCATAGAGGACCGACAGTCACACACATATTAAAATTAATGGTGTTGGGGGCGTGGCCAACGGCCGCATGTAGTAGTCGCAAGACAGGCGAGCTCCGAGAACCGCCGAGCCTAAGGTAACAATTATTGAGCCAACAACGCATAAAAACATAACTACTGGGAGCACTCACCTTCCTAACCCTCATGGCACCCTCCAAACAGCTCAAACTAGCGGAATCGATCCGACCCAACAAGAAAGATCGCCTGCGGCAAAAACAAGATGGCGACGACTCAGCCATACACTTCCCAGACCCAGGCACTCAAACGGATGAGGACACAGGGCAAATCCCTCAGGGAGAAGCACTTGTCACCAATCACAGTCTCCACACCATGCTACAAGCTCTAAAAGAATCTCTAAGAGCGGACTTTAAACAAATCACCCAAAAAATCAGGAGAGACATCCAGGAAAAAGTCGCTTAGAAAACAAAGCAGAAGAAATCTGCTTGGCACACAACGATATGGTGGCTCAACTACAGAAATTAGAAAGCAACCAGGCAGCCCTAAAAATGAAAGTGGCAGATATGGAAGACAGATCTCGCAGAAATAATCTCCGATTTCGGGGAATACCAGATACAATATCAGCAGAAGTTCTTCCACAACACTTACAGGCCCAATGCACTAAACTGGTACTGCATCTCGAGGCTGCCTCTTGGACATTCGACAGGGTACACAGACTACCCAGACCGGCAAGATTCACAGCGGACACACCGAGAGATGTGATAGTTCGCTTTCACTATTATAAATCTAAAGAAACAATCCTAAACACGATGAGAAAACTGGAGCAACTTCCAGACCCATACCAAAACATCAGCATATATACCGACTTGTCAGCAGCAACCATGGCAAGAAGAAGATAATTCATCAACATAACCAAAGCCCTACGCAACCACCAAATACCGTACAGATGGGGATACCCAACTAAGCTACTGATATGGCACAGAGGTAAAACGGAGATAATCCTAGAACCAGAAGCTGGAATGGCGAAGATCAAAGAATGGGGCCTCCATCACAACCTGGGACAGAAATCTCCCCCAAAGTCACAACCAAAAAAAAATGAGAACGGAATGGACAATGGTGGGATCACCATCAAGAACAACGATGAGCCATGAGGACTAACAACCGGGCATTACCACGCTGTTCCAGAGTTACTCCGTTCACTTAAGTATCAAAAACTCTTATGTGTGCAATACTATACCATATAATGTTAGCAATGTATTTAATACCAATGTAAAGCACAATAGCGGTGTATTAAGCCCTGGTTTGTAGTACGCACGCTAACGTTGCCAATAGAAATAACTTATAAAAAAAAAAAAAGTGTCCCACTACACTCTAGCTATGCTAACAATGCCCACTGGCAATGTCCCCCGGTTCATACCTGGGCACAGCTCTGAACCCAAATGCCACGTGGGACATACCGCTATCTTATGTACTAATTGACACGCTAATCCCGCTCATATGGTACGTAGTATGCAGAGACGCATCAGCATAGATACGATCCTAGCTACTGAGACCCCCTTACAAAACTATCTATGGTGAGGTGTAGAGGTATTAGAGAAATCAATAGAGAACACCTCATAGGAAATACTTAGCTCCCATACAGCAATACTGCTCAAGGAGCATAGTTAACATTAAAGGCCGACAGTCGGCGGAGACCCACACCCCTGCTGCCCGAAGTTAGAAAGAAGGCAGCCGCCTCGAGAGGCAAATATGCCCCTGCGCGTTATGCAGGTTAACCTAAGTTCTTTCCATTTAAGTTTAACCCTGTTTTTAATAACTGTATTGATATGTTTTATGTTGTTCTTTGAAGGTATACCTAATACTATGTCCCAAACACACGAAACTAGCTTGACACGTGAACAATCTGAACTGCCGCCCAAACCAAAAAACAACAAACATCAATATGAGAAACAACCACCAAACAGGCACAGTATAACAAAACACGACAAACACACACTAAACCAAGACCCCTTTGCCAGGTTGAAACACAACGGCACCGACCTGACAAACGAGCTCTATTGGCACAGGTTACATGAGCAAACCCTTACTCACATAATAGTATAGCGATAGCCACATTTAAAATACACTCCCTCAATGTGAAAGGCCTAAACAGCCCACATAAAAGACACCTGGCTGTCCAAGCTATGCATAACTCAAAGTCCACTGTGGTATGTCTCCAGGAGACCCATTTCTGCATCCGCAATCCACCCCAGCTTCGCTCTAACCAGTACCCCCAAATATTCCACGCATACTCACCCCACAAATCCAGAGGAGTTGCCATTCTCTTTCACAAAGACTGGGTATTTCAAGAAAACAAGAGACACACAGACAAAATGGGCAGACTGTTGATCCTAGTGGGTAACCTGAATGGCATGCTATGTACAATTGTCTCACTATACGCCCCAAACGAGGGTCAAACTGCATTTATCCGCAAATCTATTAAACTAATAGACAAAATCCGAACCGGCCACACAATCATATGTGGGGACTTTAATTGTACCCTGGACCCGACACTAGACTTAAAAAGGGAACAAAACAAACCCCCGACCTAAGCAAAATACTCTCCACCAACAACCTCTATGATGCTTGGAGATCTACATACCCACAAGAGAAAGACTACACGTTTTTCTTGCAGGTACATGGAACCTACTCCAGAATTGACATGTGCTTAGTAGACAAGGCCACATTAGTAAACATAGATGAAGTACAAATAGGCCAGAGGACCTGGTCAGACCACGGCCCATTGACAATCACACTCCGATCCCTCCACCAAGAAAGGGGCAGAGGGAAGTGGAGGCTAAATGAAGGCTTACTGGATAACCCACAAGTGCTAGACATAGTAACCAAGGAGGCATCCGAATACTTCACGCATAACACAATAGGGTCCACACCAATCCCAACTGTCTGGGTCACACACAAAGCAGTCATGAGAGGCATATTTATCAGAGAAGGTTCAAAACTTAAAGAAGCACAACTAACACCTACAAATCCCTACAACAAGAATTAGAAAACTTAGATACACAAAACGAAACCAACCCTTGCAAAAAACTAACCACACGTATCAAGGAAGTGCAGAAAGAATTACATGCACATTATAACTACCGAATGATGGATGAGATCCCTCAAGCTCAAATATTACACACAGGGGAACAAAGCAGGAAAATACTAGCTAACAGGTTAAAGAAGAAACAACTGCAAACCAAAATTCCCTACATTGTATCCCCCACGAGAGGCAAACTATATAATCCACTAGACTTTGCCAATGAACTGGCACAATACTATGACCGGCTATATAATCTTAAGAATGACCCTACATTACCACAGCCAACCGACAGAGATATAGAAGCCTTCCTAGAGGATATATCGCTGCCGCGATTATCAACACATGGAAGTACACAACTAGATGCCCCATTTACAGATGACGAAATTCGTAGGGCCATTCTCTCCCTGCCCAAACACAAAGCTCCGGGTCCAGACAGATTATCCAATTACTACTACCATAAATTAGAAACACTCCTAACACCACATCTCACCAAATTATTTAACACCATAAAAATGTCAGGAACCCTTCCAACAGAAATGCTGGAAGCACATGTTGTCACACTGCCCAAACCAGGCAAGCCACCTACCCAATGCGAAAACCTGCGCCCTATATCATTGCTGAACGCAGACATCAAGCTATATGCGAAACTATGGGCACTACGACTGAAAACTCACCTTACAGAATTAGTTTCCATAAAACAAGCAGGATATGTCCCCGGGAGACAGGCAGGAGACAACACCAGACACTTTATAAATCTAATCAACTGGGCAAACACTAGCCAACAAGTAGGAACAGTTCTGGCGCTCGATGCCAAAAAAACATTTGACCGCCTGAACTGGGAATACATGAAAGCTACACTACTTAAAATGGGATTCACAACACAAACCCTGAGGGGCATTATGGCCCTGTACCATTCCCCCTCGGCAAGAATATTCAACTCGGGATTTATATCAGACAAATTTCACATTAGCAACGGCACGCGCCAAGGATGTCCACTGTCATCACTTTTGTTCATACTTTGTCTGGAACCCCTTATACTCCACATAAAACAACACCAGGGAATAGAGGGATTACTCACCCCAGCAGGGATCAACAAAATAGCCCTCTTCGCAAATGACGTACTCCTCTTCCTCACAAACCCTACTCACTCCATACCAAACCTGATGGAGCTTCTACTACAATATGGACGCGTATCATACTACAAAAATAACCTTAAAAAAACACAAGCTCTACCCATAGGTATCACCGCTAATGTAATCCAGACCCTCAAAACACAACACCCCTTCGACTGGAGGAAAACGTCCTTAAAATACTTGGGAATTAACTTAACCAAATCACACAGTCTGTTGACCCGAGAAAACCACATTCCCCTAACCCATAAACTCCAGGCACAACTAGAAGAATGGCAAAATCTGGAAATATAATGGCTAGGGAGAGTAAACACTGTTAAAATGATGGCACTACCCCATATCCTGTATCTGTTCCGCATCATACCCATACCATTAGGAGACAAACTGCTCCAAAGATTCCAAAAAATGCTAAATGCACACATATGGAAGAAAAGAAAACCAAGAATAGCCAGACGCCTCACCTGGCTGTCACCAACCAAAGGCAGCCTCGGCACCCCAAATATTAGGGGATATTATAGAGCAGTGTCCCTGGCACAAGGGCTGGATGCATTATCCCGCACTACCCCCATAATCTGGGCCCCCCTAGAAAATGCCTGCATACGACCACACACAATAAATTCTATGCTGCAATCTTTTAACCCATGGGAACCCAACAAACACAAACCTATGGCCAGTACGAGATTCTTAATTAGCAGCTGGATAAATGGGCAAGTCCACTCACCGGCACAAACAACATTATATACTTCGCCCTGATACAAATAATCTCAGAACTAGCAGACGATATAAATATGGAAACGTGGCGACAACAGGGAATAACCTCGGTGGCCCAACTATATTCAGAGACGGGCCTCAGACCATTCCCAATACTTCAACAGGAATATGCACTCCCCTCTAGGGACATTTTCACATACATCAGAACCAAACACATTCTCCAATCCCTACAAACCCGCCATTGCAATGAAACACAACTAACAAACTTTGGGCTATACCGTATAGGCAAACGTCCACAACTAAAACCACTATCCCTATGCTACACGGCACTAAATGACGCTGACCCACTATGCAAACACAAATACATAGAACAATGGGAGGCAGAACTAAACATAAATATGCCCAATCCAATATGGCTACAAACAATTCAGACTACAAGGAAAATGTCACATAGCCTGACCCATTGGGAGGCGTATTGTAAAATACTGATGAGGTGGTACCTAGTACCTACCAAGATAGCGAACATGTACCCCTCAGCCTCAAATGTATGTTGGAGATGCACTCTCCACAAAGGAAGCATGAGACACATATTTTGGGATTGCCCACTACTGAGCAAGCTTTGGAGAACGATAGGAAAAGCTATGGAAATTTTAACGATACGCAAAATACCGTTCACACCAGACTGCTACTTACTACACCTCTCCCTAGAACTGCTGCTAGACAACAACAGACAGGTTATCATACACCTACTAACAGCAACAAAGACCTGTATAGCCAGCCACTGGAAAACCACACACACCCCCTCACCCCAAGAAGTATGGAATAGAATCGAAAATGTCTCAGAATATGAAGGTATGGCATACAGACTAGGTGGCCAAGCAGAGACATACACTAAAAGGTGGGCAAGTTGGCATACACACCACAATACAGTGAAAAAACTCATATGATTGCTCTAGAAGACGGACAGAACAGAATAAATCACAACACAACACACTACAATGCAGTGGACCTCACCACTCAGATGGCACACTCGAGATCCATTACGCTATAGATGACGGGACGGATAAGATACTATTACATGGGGGGCGGGGCCTGGCAGCCAACATTGCTGGTCGCACACTCTAAGAGCTCCTGCAATACAGAGCATAAACAAGCTACCACATAGCGATCCTTAAACGCTAGCAACTCACGGTGACCAGGGATCCACTCACGATACCATGAGTAACAGAACGGTACCGGTCCGGCACCGATGCGTGGCGAAACGACCTATACCGACCATGCGGCCTACAACGGAGCGGAGGTCTGGGGGAGGTGGCCTATCTCCCGACACGAGACCCGCTCACATGCGTGAACTCAGCACAACCCTGCTACCCCTCCCCTCTGGACCGGCGGGGGATATCCTGGTCCTCGCTGGGGACGATCACCTCCACACCAACGTCTGACCAAGCGACTACACCCAAAGCAACACAGGCATATCCAGGCCCACACAAGATGGTGGCACGGACACAGCCTACCACTAAACGCACTCTAATCAAGCCTCCCAAGCACTCACGGGAGTTCTTCGACCAGATCTGCGCCAGCATTTGGATAAAGCTCCAGGCTCAGAGACGGCCCTACTTGATGGTGATCAAAGAGGTGGCAGCGTGGATCTGCCCAGCAATCCGGCGCCACTTAGGCCGGCCCACCAGCGGAGCCGGAAACCAGCACAGAGGGAAACAACGCCAAGTATCCTAGGCACCAGCACTGGTGCTCCCACGCCTCGAAGGGGATCCTGCAAATATGCCAAACCCGCCTGCACCTCAGCGGCCCAAACTGCCATCACCCGGCAGGGCGCAACCCCTCGTTATGACACTCACAATACAATGATCATTGTGACCTAATTGTAGTTTAACCCTCATTGCCTGTTTTATGCCCTGCTCGGATGTCTCACACATAGGCGCGATCACCCAGAGAAACGGCCTAACAGGGATATACACAAAAGCCTGCTAAAACTATAGTGAGCCTGTTCTAAGTACCCCTACCCACCACACTTAACGGGTTACCTCGGACACCCTAAGCAGGTCTCCTTAATTGACCCAAGACTGTAACTGTATGGGATCATTGTGGTCCGCACCCCTAGCGACCCTCATTAAAGAACCTAATAACACCCCTTACATTATGCAACCACCCCACTTGTATTAGCATGGATTCTAAATACCATATCTGTATCCCACCTTATACTTACCTTACAGATGCATACGTTTATACTTACCTTACTGACGCATATGTTTGAATTATTAGCAACTTTAGCATAAAATTATATCTACTCTTGTGACATAACGTTTCAGTTTTCGCCTGTCTTTAATATAAAAATGTGCTGTTTAATTGTATGCCATACCAAGTTCAATGCTACTACCCAGCTTGCTATTGCTGTTGTGGCATCGCAAGAAAATGTTCAGTCTTTCCATGCACAAGAAAAAAAAAGAATAAAAAAAAAAAAAAAGATACTATTACACATCCAACCGCAACTCCCCACATTACATCACACTGCATATTCGATGTGGTAAATTCAGTATACCAGGTTTCCAGTTTTCCCCCTTTCTCCCCTGATGTTCCCCCCCCCAATTCAACTACGAACACACATTCTCCGAATACGACACATGCTCACCCAATCCACAAACAACCACCTCAAATGCGTCCCAACTGCAGAAGGGAAAACAGTCGACACTACCGTTAATAATATGAATATAACCACCCAGACGCTCACACTCCGTTATGTAACACAAAATGCGAACTCTACTAAACGTATAAAGCGAATAAATTGACTAAAAGTGCAAAATTGTGTGGAATGAATTGTAACCATTCATCCCTCCCTCTTTTTTCTTCTGTACCCTATTGTTTACCTTTTATCTGTGCAAAAAACTCAATAAAAAACTAAAAACTGAAAGAAAAAAAATAATGGGGTTTCTGCTGTTGTTTCTGTGAAGGAACTGCCTCATTACGTAAGGTGCCTGCTAGCCACTTTACTACCTCCCACAATGGCAAGAAAACTGACCATAGATGGATTCTACCGCAGTTCCAGGACTGTCCACACTAAACTCAACTAAGGACAGTTGAAGCTTGCGCAGTCACAATAGTGTTTTCAAGAAGTAGAAGCCTACACAAATGTGAAAGGGCCAGTGGTGTTAGGATTAGTCTATATCAGGGGTGCTCAAAAGATAGATCCCCAAATGTAGAGCTACAACTCCTTTGATACCTGCAAGCATTTAGAATGACAAAGCATCATGGAAGCTGTAGTTTTAAAACATCTGGGGATCTACCTTTTTGGGCACTCCTGGTCTATATAAATTGTTGGTACAGAAATAGAGCTGGCGACTTAAAATTTGTATTTATTCATAAATATCCCCTCTATCAACATTTCTACTGAAGAATAGTACTTTGCATGGGTTAACATGAACACTCAGACTTCAAGTATGTCTGTGTGTCTGTGAACGTAACAAGAAAGGGGTGTGGGTAAATTACTTCTAATCCCCATCCGTTAACACCCATACTTGGACCCCCCCCCCTCTAAAAACCTTATTTTGCTCATTAAGTATGTCCCAAAGATAGGAGCTGTGTGGAAGTACAACAGTTTGAAGGAATGAATGTAACCCTTGTCTTCTATATGCAGCTGCCTGTGAGCTGGGTGAGGAATGTACTGACATCAGATGCCAGATTGGGCACTGTGAACTCAAGCACAGTGTAATAGGAAGCCACAAACCACAGCCAGATACAAGCGAGAGCCTTGAAAGGAAAAAAGTATGGTCACATACAGTGCTGTCCTGTATATTGGGTTCCAGCACTGCTGCAGCACGAATTCTGGAGAGGGGAGTTAGCTCCACAGACTCTGACAGCGCTGGGTTTAAAGATCTCATGGCTGCAGATTATCAGGACAGGCTCAGACAGCGCTGGGTTTATATGTAATGTACAGTGAGCTCCTGGCTGCAGGTTATCAGGACAGGCTCAGGCAGTGCTGGGTTTATATGTAATGTGAGATCCTGGCTGCAGACTATCAGGATAGGCTCAGACAGTGCTGGGTTTATATGTAATGTAGGGTGAGCTCCTGGCTGCAGACTATCAGGATAGGCTCAGACAGTGCTGGGTTTATATGTAATGTAGGGTGAGCTCCTGGCTGCAGATTATCAGGACAGGCTCAGGCAGTGCTGGGTTTATATGTAATATAGGGTGAGCTCCTGGCTGCAGACTATCAGGAGATGCTCACACAGCACTGGGTTTATATGTAATGTAATGTAAGCTCCTGTCTGCAGAATTATGATTCTCGTTTCTACAGCATAGGTATGATTGTTTTAAAAAATAAATAAAAATATGGCCTTTGTATAAATAATCACCTTCAAATGTCACTACAGACGCATGGAAATGTAATCCTGTGTGTCTGCAAACTTCAGGTCATAGAAGGTTTTATTGTATTTGGATGAAAGCCTTATTAACTCTTTCATTGCCTTAGCTATACATTCATCCTTATATATCCCTACCACTGTGTTTCCAACTGCAGTATGTGGAATTTAAAATACAATTAAAATTACTATGGCACAAAGCTTATTTAACATTTCCTACTAAACTTTTCTCTTTAAAGTGAATCTGTTTACCTTAAATCTCTCCCATACACATTGAATACACCATATATCACAAAAATACAAAGATCTACTTGATTTTCCTCTCTTTCAGCACTGGTTCGTGAGTTACTCTTCGTGTAACACCCACCGTTCTCCGCTTGTCCTAAAGTCTTCTTTCATTTGCCCTCCTTAGGATTCATCCCCAAGCAAGGCAAATGTCAGCATTAACATTGGCAGGCTGGCTTTGTTGCCAGCGTGCCAGTATTGGATGAGAGTGAAGTCATGTCACTCGGTTTTTATACTTTCCTTATCAACCACAATGCATTAGCTGTGCTAAGCAGAGGGGCCTTGGCATTTTTAAATCGTGTTTTTTGCTAGCACAATGTATAGATACAAATCTTATTCTCAATCTGATGAGCAAAAGTTGTCTGTGGCATGACAGGTCCCCTTTGAAGTACAGTCAAGTCACAGGGCATTCACAATTAATAGTACAAACTGGTAAATCTTTACTTTGTAACCATCACCCAGTATTATTCTTCAGAATGTATCTGTCCAGCCATTAACACATTCGCACACATACACACAACTACCGGTAGATACGCACACGTCGACAGAAACACACCCCACCCCATATATGCACAGATACATACATCCAGACAGACATCATAGATTCATACACAGCAGACATTCACATACACCGATACATACACATAGATAATTATGTGTGAACAGATACATACATCTAGACAGACATTATAGATTCATACATACCGGACATTCACACATGCACAGCTACCACATACCATGTTCTTCAGTTACAGAGAAACAATCACTCAGAAGTGTGCTAATTCTCAGTCATGCAGATACTTTCAGGATTACAAGTTGATCCAGCACGCAGAACTGTGTCACACCTAGGACTAAGGATAACGTATAACTGGACCTTAGAACGGCCAGACTTAACGTATCGAAGAATAGTCAAAATACTTGCCGAGGTCAGGAACACAGAATCAGGCACAAAGATGAGGGAAGGCCAAAAGTCAAGTATACCAGATATCAGGCAAGTCAAAATGAAGCCAAAGTCAAATACCAGAAAATCAAGATACGGAACGCACTCTCGGATTACCGTCAGGATGAAACCACGACAGGGCAATGAGCAAAAGGAGAATTGGGTTTAAATACCCCTCCTGTGGATCCGATTGGCCGTAACTGGCCTTTGACTCCAAAAGCAATTACCAGGTTTCCATGTGCATGATTGCTGCTCGGTACAACTTTTCCTGTCAGGATGGTACTGCTGCTCGGCACAACTTTTTCTGTCAGGACGGTAAATGCCATTAACCACATTTTTATGTGTGGATGAATATGTGGCAGATACATACACACTGCCACTTGCTCATGTACAAATACACAAACCTAACCACTGACAGGTGAATAGGTGCACACAGCTATAAACAGACCTAGTGTCAGGCCTGGGTGCAAAAGTTTTTACTGCCCTCTGTAGACGTGGTTTATTAATTACTCCCATTTCTCACCAAAGACGCCTCTCCATCCATTGCTGAGATAATCAGTGATCTCAGCCACTCCACAGAAAAACACTGGGGGGCTACTGCACATGTGTGGCAGTTGGTGCACTGTGCCTTGAAGCATCTCCTCATAGAGGGGCATTTTATCAATGGAGTGTTCAGTGTTTATATGCTGAGCTTGAAGACACTGAACGCTAGTCCTGCATAGATTACAAACATTTAATGGATATACATTACACTATTACACTATTTGGGCTCAGAGTGACACTATAGGCGTCACAAAGACCACTTTAGCTCATTATTATTATTATTTTATTATTTATATAGCGCCAGCAAATTCTGTAGCGCTGTACAATGGGTGGACTAACAGACACATAATTGTAACCAGACGAATGGATGCACAGGAACAGAGGGGTTGAGGGCCCCGCTCAATGAGCTTACATGCTTAAGGGAGTCGGATATAGTGACACAAAGGGTATAAGTAGGGGTAATGAAATAGGTTGCTAGAAAAGTTATTTTTGACAGTGGGGGGAGGTTAATAGGTCCTACTCCATTGTCATTTAGAACCCACCCACCGCTCATGGATGGCGGCGGAGGGGAGGACAATAGGTCCCCCCATTTTTATTTAGGGCCCCCACCCATTTGCAGCGGGTGGGTGGGGGCCCGGGGGGATAGTAGGTTTATTTTATCAATGTTGGTCTTTCAGCCTTTTAGTAGATAGCTCAATAATACCGTGGGGGGTGCAAGATGCAGCCACAGCACAAATCAAATCGAATTTCATTCATTTGAATGAAATTTCGAACCGACCTAAAAGTACAGAATGTCGTCCTAACATTAATGAACAAACTGTTCTCGTTCTGTTATGACAAAATTCGGTAGTTTCTTCGGCGTTCTGTCTAAATGACAGGACGTTCGGGAATACTGAAAGGAGGCATCGCAAGATCACGGAGGAAAGGGTGAGTATTGTGGGAAAATTTCTCTGACCCACAGGAAGTGGGTTAGAGCGGGTCAAGTGTGGGAAAAATACACAAGACAAAGAAGTCCCTACTTTGTCTTATTTTTAAAGAAAACTAAAGCAGACAGGAAGAAACGGAGAACAGATCCTGAGAGAGGAAGAGAAGAGGAAGCGATTAGGGAAAGGTAAGTTCAGCGTGACACTGCTGCTTTAAGGCCAACGTAGCATAGCTACTGAGAGAATGGCTGACTGGAATAATGAGACCAGTTCCTTTATTTTGGACTTAAATTTGAAATGTGCTTTGAATTCCTGACAATTCCCACTTTAGTGAATAATCCTGTCAGTGAATAAACGTATATACGTGCGTATGCATTCAATAAATTCATGAAGAATACAATATTAGAACCTTCCCAAATCTTTGACTACATTCTACATCCATATTTGTTTTGCAATGAATCTGTCATGCCTGGCACATTCTTCTGGAAAATTTGTTCAGAAACATTTGCCTCTGTCTTTGCTCTTGATGACGTCTGCTCCTCCTGGCTTGACTTCTAAATGTTGTAGTTGAAATGTTTGATTTACTTTTGTTCCCCTTTGTACAGCTCTGAGCAATCCGCCTTACATTGAGAAGAATTTACTATTCTTGAACACCCTTGTCTCACTGTATGTGTAATCTGCTGTTTTAGGCTTTTCTTGCACACATTGTATGAGCATGGAGCCCTGTTCTTATACTGCTCACTGTGGGTTTCAATCATCCTTTATGATGTTACATTTTAAACATTTCCTCATCTTTAAATGGTTTTGTCAGTTAATGCCCTGGGTCAAAGGCAGTGTTTTTGCTATTTTGCAATGGCTTTCGCTGTTGTTCTACCATGTTGAACTTTGGAAGCAAGGTAGCAAAATAAATTCAGTTGTGTATGTGTTCTTTGCTGTGTGCATGATGAGATACTAGCTCTCTGCATATTACTCAAGCAATTTTGTAATTTTTTCAATTTAATTGTGGATAATATGGATATCATATGCATCACTTCAATTCTCGTTGCAAGTCAGTAATCGCTAAAATGGCCGTCATTATTGTTTGCATTTGCCAGCATCTTCCATCTACAAAATGCAATGTTTATTGACTGGTAACAAGTGGTTGCTGAGAGTTTCCACAATATAGCTGAAGAACATGTAAGCTGGAAAAAAAACAAGTTAGCTACTGGTACTTAGCAATACACCTTTAAGGACAAAATTTATTTATCTTTATTATTTTGTTGTAAGGGGGGATTCAGGCACCTACATAGTTAAAGGAATACTCAAAACTTCTAAATCTAAAAAATAAAAAAAAACTCTTAATTGTATGCTTTCTCTATGCTGACTGCCAGGTGAAAAGGACTGAGCTTATAAGAATGATTGACAGGGAGCTAAGATGGAAACGTCCAGGTGCGGAATTCTATATTACATTTTATTTTTCACAACTCACAAAAATCTTAGGAAATTATGGTTTCCCTTTAAGAAAAAAAAGACATGTAAAGAATGTTGAAGACAAGTAAGCCGTAAATAAAATTTTATACCCATGGTGGGAATATATAAGGTGTATTAAAATGCTATGGGAAACATCTGTGAATGACAGGCTTATAATATACATAAAATGCAAACAGGACATGTCATTTCAAAATAAAACAATATTTATATAGTGCATGTGTTATGTATGTCAACGATCATTTCATCAGCTTGCTACAGTTAAGTTGAAGTGTGCAGGTGCTGCTAACTTACTTTTATAGTGTCATGGTGGAGGTGGTACAATAAATAACTTAAAGGGATACTCCAGCCACCAACAAAACTTCATCTAAATTAAGTTGTTATGGTGCAAGGAGCCCCCTTGAGCAGCAAAGTCCGAAGGCTCAGGTGGCTGTTAAACGGTTTCATATATACGCTCTCGGTAGCACATGTGCAAATACTCTCTCTCTACTCCTCCCCCCAATTTGGTTTCCTCTGTACATTATTATTATTTTATTATATAGCACCATCAGATTCCGTAGCGCTGTACAATGGATTCAAATATATTTACTACCATTGCTAGTACATACATGTTGTGAATAAAACACTATTTGGGAGTGCAATATACATGCAATTCTGGCAATCCCATGTACCACCTTGACACACATTATTGCTCCCATTTTCTTTTTCTTTATCAATTGTATCCTTCTAGGTGTTAATGGCCATGCAACCCTCCAAATATATAAATACTGTTGGCTTTATAGGGCATGCTTGTTTACATATATTAAACACTATTTTGTTTGTATAGTCTATACTTACTGATTGCAGTTTATGGTTCTCTTCCTTAGTTGATGATGCCACACCTATGCCACAGTTAAACAGTTACATACTGGCACGTTTCCCTTGTTATCAGATTTTAAAATACTAGCATAATTAGTATGTACCTGTTATTACACCTGTTATCTTGTAATGCAGGTTGCCACAGGTGGCTTTTCAGCTTTCTATACCGTGGTAAGTATGGGCACAGCAGGCTTAAAGTAGGCTATAGGGTTACCATATTCACAATGTATTTAGGGACAAATATAATTTATACATGACAATGCATAAAAAGGGTTGCCCTGCAGTATAATGCATGTTCTGCAGGATTCTTCATTGCCTAATTACCTAATTTTATACACTGTCGTCTGAATTCTACATACCTTTTTAATGTGCTGCCCATCAATATGTATATGTGATATGATTCCCTAAAAACATGGTGAATATGGTAACCCTACTCTTATACCGAATGCATACCTCCTAACTGTCCTGGTCTCAAGTTGGACTCCAATCTCACTGTCCTGTTGTGCTCCATCTACGATACCCCCAATCAGTTCTGCAGAGGTTCATCATTACAGGAGATTCATTGTGCTATGTAAGTACTGAACCCATGGCCGAGCGCTTCAGAAGTATTCCGCACATGGGCTGTGCAGTACAGCCACCAAAACAGCTGTCAGTCAGACTGGCAGAAGGGCTTGTCAGAGTGATATGCCCCCTTTATGGATGGTCTATCCACTTTCTGGGCAGGTGGTAACCTTATGTGGTTTACCTAATCGATATTTTATTTTTGTTTTGCACATGTCAATAATCAAGTTATTGTGGGAGGGCATGCTGCCCAAAATCATAGGTGTCTCCTCTATTCTCACAATATACTCAGTATTTTTCTTACAATTAATTTACATGGCACCCTGCCACAACTTGGGGGAGGGGAGTGTCACCATCACTAAAGTGGCGACTCAAAACAAGTGATACCATTACTCCTTGGTAAATGTATGCATGTAACGTGGATCCTGGCTTAAATTCTTTTTCAGGGTCTTCTCGCCCACCTTTCCATGTTCACCCTAAAAAATGAGCAAGGGACCATGCTTTTCTACTTCTCACAGTCAGTCCAAATTTTGTTGAGCAGGCCCTCTGTTTTGGTTCTGGACTGTAATGGTGTGCTATCTGTTATGTAACTTACATAGGTTCCAGCAGTAACGAGATAAGTTGTTTTATACCTCCTAAGTGGGAAATACAGAATAGCAATATACTATCAGAATAAATAGTGTGTAAGACAGGAAAGGAACACTATAGTGTTAGGAATAGAAACTTTTTGAAGTGTCCTTGTCCCTGACCACTGCACCCAAACCACTTGAGATGAAGTGGTCTGGGTGAATCTAGTATGCCTTTAATGAGTTACAAGCAACGTATGTAATAACGCACTAAAAGGGAAAATTGTAATAGAAAGTAAAGTTCAATAGTCTTGACAATCTCTGAACAAATGCCCCAGTATTTCTCTGACACCAATTCTACAATAAATATAGGGCACCTTCTAGCTAGCCTGTTAAAACCTACTAAAGAGCTTCACTTATTTTGCCTAATGCATAGTTGCCTACTGTCCCAAATTTGCAAGGACAGTGCCATGTTTTGGGCTCCTGTCCAAGCAAAAAATGATCCCAGAACCTATCCAGCAGAGCTGGGTCTGCCGATGTTTAGCCACTCTAGGCCTACAGGAAAGTATCTAGGAATACGTGCCTCTCTTTGTTTCTGTTTCAACTAAGTTTGTACTGCAGATGCTGGGTGGGCACCATGGAATCACTGATGTTTACTTACTGAATATGCATTATAGGGGCAACTTTGAAAAAAAACAACTACATTTTGGTCTAAATGTTTCTCTTTGGATTTTGGTTCACCAAAACTCAAAGTTTACTGAATAAACCCTCATGCTTGCTGAGCTATAAGCTATTTCGCAGACATGAGGAGTTCGGAATCATTACACATCGCTCATACTTTACAACATCTTGTACAGGTAAAAGGGGGCTATGCTAACTTTGGTGCCATCATAGCCTGGGGCATTACATATATATGGCAAGTTTAGCAAACTGCTACAGCAGTTCCTGGTGCTATGACTTTTATATAGCGGCAGAGACAGACCGTTCCTTGCACTTTACTCAATGCAAGAGCATTAAGTGGTTATAGTGATTGCCATTTAGAGGGGTGTGTAAGCTAGTTTAACTTTACATTCTGCATATCTACGATGATTTCTCTCTTTTGCTTATCATTTTGTTTTGGTCTTTCTGCTCTTAAAGTAATATGTTGACATCTCTAAAACCACACATTTCCTCTTTAATACACTCTCATGGTTCACATTGTTTTTTCCTTGTGACGCTGTCAAGCAACCTATGGCATACTATTCTCTATGCAAATTCTGGGTATTTTGACATTTTCTTACAAAAATAAAACACTATAAACAAAACTATAATATTTGAGGAAGGAAATCATGCATTATTTGTTTCACAAACATCCCTGTTTTAAACTGACTAAAGTTTTTTTTTTTTAAACCCTCTCTTCCCCCCCCCCAAAAAGCCCAATAAACATTATGTATGCAGTCGCCTTAAGTATTTGATGTCTGCAATACATTTTGTTATATATGTATGCCTGTCTTATCTCTGTAATAGGCAGAATAGCTCTGTAATAGGCAGAAGTAAAATCAGCTGTTTTAGCATTTACAGAAACCCTTATCTGTCACATGCGAGTGGGGGAGGGGTGCAGAACTCTGCAAGGCTGAAAGAACTAACTACAGAGTACAATGTCATGTGGAAGGAAGGAAGGGGGGTGTGAGAGCCAGGGCAGGCATCCAGCAGATGTGTGCACTGCCTGAAATCACACTGCAGTGTTGTCAAACATTAACAAGGGAGCTCATTGGATAAGACTTGTGGGTTGACTGAGGGTGGGAGTCTCAGAATAAAGTACACAAGGCGGAGCTCGGACTTTGGCAGATCTCCAAACCAGTCTCTTCTGAGTGAATTTTTTTTTTAAAGTAGCATGCAATAAAAAAAAATAAAAAAAAAAAAAACTGAAAAAAGAATCCTATAAACTGATACACGTTACCACACCCTCCTGTGCATATACAGACACAGAAGGCCTGCCTTGGCGTGATTGTGAAATTAATATTGCTTGCTTGTTTGTTTTTGCAGACAAATGCCCTCTCTCGGATAAAGCAACCCTGCAAAGTTTTAAAAAGAAGTCTGTTTAACCAATGCCTTAAACATTATTTATATGTCACCAACATATTCTCAAACGCTGTACATATTTAGTTTTTATTTTATAATCTCCTAGGAAATTAAAAAAAACAAACACACGAAAGAGAAAACACAACCTACAGACAGATTAAGTCACTTTGTAGTAGTGTGTGATGACATTGAAGTCTATTCTGTGGCCAAAGGGTTCCTGTAAGTTTATTTATTGTTAAATCTCCACCTCTGAAAATGTTGTAAAGCGCTATGGAATATGCTGGCGCTATATAAACACCAATAATAATAATAAAAAGGGGATAAAGAGGCACAATTGTAATTGCCCTGAAAATCTTGTTGATTGTGAATGCGGAGATCCCCCAAGTTTCCCCTTTCATTTTCTACTCAGCCAGTTAATGTCACTGCTGGTTTTAAGGCCATGTTAGAATGGTTGTTGTTTCACAGTGCAGCAATGTGTTTTGTATTAACCGTCACTAGTTGTACTCTGTTATACAGTCGGATACATTTGGATACAGAGAAGGCATATCTGCACAGGATATCCCCTGCAACTGGTGTGCAGTCCTGACAAAACCACATTCTATGACCTTTCTAGACTATATTGCAGTCAGCAGACAAAAGCAAAGAACCAAGGTCACTGATTTATACAGCTGAGAGTCTAGGAATAGGAAACACACACCTTGTGTGTCCACAAATCCTTTAACCAACACACCCTCTCAGCTGTGACCTACCACGCACATCATAGCTTGACATGCTCTGCAAACACAGTCTATCTTACCTGTCACAGAATTGATGTATGCAAAACAGCAGCTGGTGCACGTACACATTGCACTGCAACGGGTACGCACGCTGCTTTGCACTGCAACGGGTACGCACGCTGCTTTGCACAAGTACACAAGGCACCGTGCTCCAATACTCTGCAGCCCTTACTATTCACAACCAGTAGGCCTGCTTCCAAAAACACCTGGGGTTTGAACCCAAAACAAAACTCAATGCCTTCCATTACAGGAGCCATATCTCTGCCTGTCTGTGCAAGCTTTGCCAGCTATGCAAGCCAGGCTGTCAGTGAGGAAACGGCTGGATACAAAAACCAACTGCATTGCCAGGTATATTCTGCAATACTGCCCACTCAGACTGCTTAAGCAATGGAGGTACAGCAGCCTCTCCAGACTGTCATTGGGTGGAAGCACACTGGTAGACTAAGCGCAGGGCCGGACTGGGGATACAAAGCAGCCCTGGAAAAAATAAATCGATGCCAGCCCCGCAGCACGGTGTGGGGAAAAAAAAAAAAAGGTGAGTAAAAACACTATTTCTAAACACACATACCTTGACAGACACAAACATACCATGACAGACACGCACACACACCTTGACAGACAAACACACCATGACACAGACACACACACCATGAGAAACACACAGAGCATGACACAGACAGACACACACCCACCCACCATGACACAGACAGACACACACCATGACATAGACACACGCATGCACTCACACTGACACATAATATAGCTACCTGTGGGCGACAGGCCAGGGTGTGTCTTACAACCCCCTTTGTATGTATCTTACTTCCCCCCAGCCACTTTCTGTGTCTCTTTCTTACCCCAGCCCCTTTCTTTGTTTCCTTCTCCACCACAGACCCTCTGGTGTGGCTTTTTTTTCCCCTCAGTACGTTTTGTGTGTCTCTCCCCTCCAGATCCCTTTGTGTGTCTTGCCTGTGTGCCTGGAAGGAATCATTTTCAGGCACACAGTCATTAAAGGCACACAATCAAAGTCATACAGGTACACTGTCATACAAACACAGACATAATCATACAGAGACATACAGACATAGTCACACAGAGACATACACGCATACAGAGACATACATGCATACACAGGCATACTGTCATACAGACACATACATACTTACATACATACAGAGACATATACAATTACATATTTACAACTGTTCAATCTGGTCCCTGGGGTACATGCTGTCCGGCTCTGTGGAGTCCTGTCTTAAAGCCCAGCTCCATCACTGGGCACCAGCCGCGCTGTGTGATACACAGGGATATGATGTAATTCATATCCTCGCCCCCTCCACACAGCCTGCGGCAGACACCAGGGTAGGAGGCTGGGCGGGCGGAAATAATGGGGGAAGTGCCGACCAGATTCCCAGCACACTGGATTACCCCCTCAATGCAAAGTAGCATCATGGAAGGGGGAATGAATATTAATTTTTGTTTTTAAATAATTATTAATTTGATAAATCCCCTACTGAAACACACCACTATACACCTGAATAAAGGGGTATGACGGGGTTGTGGGGGGCACTATGAAGACCTAAGGCCGGCCCTGATTATATTACTGAGCTAGGCCTACTTTTATTAAAGTGAGTTGTTAGTTACTAGACATGTGCATGTGTTGCATTCTTACTTAAAGAGACACCATAGTTACCCAGTACACTTCAACTCATTGACGTGATCTGGGTGCACTGTCCATGTTACCCTTAGTAATGCAATGTAAATCATTAAAAGAAACAGCAATACTTACCTTGTAGGACTAAGACTGCCTTCAGTGGCTGTCAGAAAGCCACTAGTGGCACTTCCTGGAAGCTGGCGGACTCCGCGTCTTTTTAAAAAATATATTTTTGTCAATCTTTGTTTTATTATGGCATAGAATGAACATGAGATACAGCAGTGTGTTCTTGACATAGACAGGATAAGTCATATTGTGAAAACAAGCAGCATGAAGACAAGTTATACATCACATTAATGTACGGTCTAGGTCACTTTGTGAGAAAGCATGCCACTTTTATAAGTAAACAAAACACCATGTATGCCTGAGATAATCTACATTAAACAATCGTGGAGTAACTGGCATAAATAGGTGCTTGAGAGTGGGTACAAAATAGATGCCTGTTTTAGTAATTTAGGTTAGGCGCTAGAGATGGGAAACTGGCGTAGTATATGTATTTCATCACAGGCTAGGGGTACTAGATTGTAAGACCACTGGGTCCACACTACTGTGGATGATAACATTGTACATAAGTTGGGCACTGGCTCCCCAAGATGAGTATGAGGGTAAGTGCATATTTAAAGGGTTTGTTTGTTGCCATGTTATGGCATTTGGAAAGGCTGGCAGATGATGAGACAAAATATGTGCTTGGTGTATGTACCTCAGCTAGGTAATGGCATATCAACCAGCGTATAGCATGTGCATCATATTAAGCTGCTCTCATATTATCAAGCATAAGAGATAAGCGGAGATACATCATATTTACAGTAATAATAAACAAATAAAAATAAAATGGTGATCGCTGTAAACCAAAACATATGGAAAGATGTGGATGCAGGCTGGCATGCTGTGGGTATTAGATTAGGCAGTGTGTGAGTCAGACTAGTGACTATCCGAGGGCTTAAGGTGTTAAGTCCCGAAGCAGCCGATGCCACGGCTCGGTGGCAGGTTGAGGGGGTCGAATGGCACCATGAGGCATAGTCCGAGCAAGACCACAGCCCCAGGCCGTCATTAAGGCCTGCATCCAGGGACCACAAACTTGGGGGCTCAAATAGGAGGCGGAGTTCTTCCCTTTCAGGGGACGGTGATGGATCCTCCACGTCAGTGATCGATGCACTGGGATTATATCCCTGTTGGCCTTCAGCCCGGGTAGGCCAAGTGTGGGAGACTGCAACGCTGTTGTGGAAGGAGCGCCCGGGGGGCCCCGCTCTCTCTCCTCAACCAGAGCTGTTGACATCTCAAGGTGAGCTGATAGCTTGGCCCAGAAGTTTTTACAAATCTCAGCCAGGTGCTGTTGTATTTGCTTACATGGGCTCTGTGTGATCGTGGCAGGTTATTGTACACGAGGTGGCAGCGTGTCCACCATCTTGAGGTAATCTCCCCTGTCCAGGACCTATGTCAGTGCGGGTGCTTGAAGGCAACAGTGGTTAGTGGTGTTCACCAGTGGGGACCGGGATAATCCCCACCGGTCTAGGGAGCTGGGAGAGTGGCTGTCTCACCCCAGCTCAAGTAGGCCACAAGCCTCGGTCTGAGTAATTCAATGCTGAACAGGCTTGCGTCAGGTATCCCGTATACACCGTTGGCAGCTTAGCAGGGTGGGTACCGATTAGGGTCAGAATGAGCGTATGGCCCGCAGTTAGCCCCAGTTTTACGTTATCAGATGCAGGAGCTCAGACAAAACATGTCTGATCCAACCAGCAGGCAAGCTCTACCCCCGACTCTGAGTCCCTTAAATGATGATGAATGATCGGATGGTCTGCTGACCCGGCGCTGTTTATCTGCCAGGGGGGACAGGACAGGTGGAATGACCAAAGGGCACTATAGAATCCCTTTAAACGAATCAATTTGTTTTGCATGGAAAAACTTTAGATTCGCTCTCAAACCGATTGATCAGCTTAAAACAAACAAAACATTTCTATGACCGTCGATTTGATTCATTGTCAGAAAAATCGATTGTTTAATAGAGGAGTACGAAGAATGCAAGTCTAAAATAGATACCCTGTTGAATACGGTTTATTCATAAAAAAAAATTATGACGTGGTTACCTAATAGCAACGTAATGAGACTCCATGTAGTTTCTATTAGCTTGTCAAGTGACACTGTTCATTATTTTTCAACTAAGAACTATTCACCGCAGTTCCTTGAAGCCAGGAAACTGACACAAAGGATAGCGCTCTACAAAATCCAAGAATTTCAGGATTCATCCTCCAATCAGTGTCATTTATGTTTACCTATTCGTTCACAGTCTACCTATCATTTTGCTAACATTATACCAGTCACATGATGCATAAACATTTCCCTTAGAGCCCCTTAGCTATCAGAAAAATTATTGCAATGAATGACAGCTATAATTACATAACTTATCCTACTCCCAGCTCTATCAAACAACTAGAGGAGCGAGGCGAGAACACGGTTTATGAATCCTCATAGTGGTTGGGAGGAGTTGGAGCTTGCCTATTGCTCCATTAGCATAAAGATAATGAAATACTAGAACATGCTCTACAGGAATTGCATGGGCTAACATAAATTACCGCACAAACAAGCATGTTTTTCAAAATGATGGTACGTAGTAACACATACAACAAAGGAACGTGTGCTGTTTGAAAAACGTATGGTTCCACTGAGGAAGAAATGTTACTAATAATCTAAAAAAGTGGTCCTCAACCTTTAGTGTATGGGGAATGCACCAGGAATACGCTGGATAATAAGGAGTATTAATGTAAGCTGTGACATTTGTAACTATCAAAAATGAAAAAGATTAATTGCCATCTGATGGTCCTATTACAATAGTCTCTTCAGCATCTCACCCCCTCTTTGTTCTGCAAACAGTCACCATTTCTCGATCATTGCTGGTTTGAGAACCAGTGATATGGAACACACTAAGCAATAATTTCTGCACATTCACAGCTGGGATAGTATGAATGCCATAATGATTATACAGGGAAGTATATTAATCAACCCTTGCTTAGTCATGGAGTGCATAATGCAATTCCATTAAATAGGGATACCATAATTCTTAAGACACCAAGCTGCTCTACTCAATCCTTTGTAAATTGCAAGAAAATGCATAATGCATTGCTGCTCTATAATTGAAAGATAACAATATTCTTGTGCAGTAGTAGATAATTCTATACAGTATTATTTATAGTGCTAGCCTATTTCAGAAAGTTATACGTTGGAAATGTAAAATAAGCATATTATGACAAATTTCAAGTGAACGATAATAAGCTTTTTTAAAATGGAGTCTGTCCATTTATAAATTCACGTATATTCATAGCTGGCTTATAATAAATATATGCCAAGAAATAAACCTTGCAGTGAATTGGATTACTTACAAGTTGTTAGTCCAATATAAATGCCAACATCAGCATAAAATTGTAAACGGTTAAGTTGTGAAACCATTGATAAGTTTTGAGTGTAAATATAACTGGCAGCTTTGGGGTTAATATTATAGGAATTCCTCCACCCCTAATTCCTGCTGTCACAACAAAGTTAGATTCATGTGTTTACTGCTACTTACCACATGTTCTGGAACAGAGTGGTACAGTGCCACCTAGTGGGAAGAAAGTAGGACTAAAGGACTTGTTGGTCATAAGTGCAAGGAGAAAAGTATAAACAAACCCATCAATCAAACATCGGTACATGCGCATTATGTGCCTTGCAATTATTCACTAAACAGTGAACGGTGGCCAATTAAAATTTGAATGGTATCACTGGGACTAAAATAGCCAAGCTGTGATTAGAACAGAAAGAGGGTTTTCTAATCGGCTATTTTGGCAAAACTATTTTCCGTTTACCATAGTGAATAAGCCCAATTCGGTTTAAAAAATATTACAAAACTTAATGGTATTCAGTTAGTTAAACTCTGAAGGATGAAAGTCTGAGTTAAACGGCATGAGATGCTATCCTGCGACCCTGACATACTGCATCATGCAAAAATTGGGTTTACAATGAGTATTCTTGCATTCACACAGTATAGGGTGTGCTACAAGAAATATACCCTTAATAACACAAAGTGCAGTAGAATTGAATCCACTTTGCATATTTTAAAGCAGGGGGTCATCAAACTCCGGCCCCCCAGATGTTGCTGAACTACAACTGATGATGATGATTATGATTTGAATTACATAGATAGCCAGAGAATCATGGGAGTTGTAGTTCACCAACATCTGGGCAGAGTTTGAGGACCCCTGTTTTAAAGAGACACTCCAGGCATTCCTTTGTATTGTTGTGTAGGGTTGGTTACTTTTGCTAAAGGATTAATATTTGGATTAAAATTTAGTTTAGCTGTGCTTAGTAAATAGTTATCTCCATTTGTCCAGCAAGTCTGCCCTCCTCCTCATCCTGAAAGAGTGGACAACTTCTGTAAAATTCTCCCAGAGTTCACGTAGGGCAAGCTTTGCAACAGGGGAGAGAAGTAACCACAATCCTCTATTAGATTGATCCCCGCTGGAATTTTAATGAACACATCCTTCAATATGGTAGTCAAAAAGGAGAGTGGCTAAATAAAGTGTGTGCAAGAGAATCTGTATGTGTATGTAACTGGAAAAAAAAAAGAAAAAAAAAAAAAGGGACATGCGCTCTTCCCAAACCATATTTAAATAAATGGAGGTTATTTAGTTTCTCCAATGGCCATTATATGGAACCCACCTGTCACGTCAAAGCTACCTACTTAGGTGGGTCCTACACGAACCATTCACCTTGCTTCCTTGAGCTTCTGGCAAATATATCTCTGAGAGAGAGGGGTATTTTTCTAAACCCCTACATACTTATTAACCCTTAATAGGTAACACATGAGGTAGGCGGCAGCATTGTAACAGCTGTGTGATACAAAAGTGAATATAAATACAGAAATAAAAGTCTAAAAACATGGAGATATAAAAGAACGCTAAGAACTTTGTATATCTCCATGTTTTTATCAAGGAAGAGAAGACATTATGCTGCTGTTTTATATGTTTTACTCTCTTATTTTATCATATAATGGCCGCGGCTATTGCGCGTTCCACGCTGGAACGCATGGTTTTATTTTGCCAGTGTAAGCGCCGTGTCACTTCCGGCGCGACGCGTGCGTTCCACGGTGGTTACCAACACACATGTGAACGTCGCGCCGCTTCCGGTTTTGCCGCGTGTGTTCCACGGCCGAGGTACACCAGGAAGACACCTACAATTATGTTAATTATGTAAGTTATGTATTTAAAGGAAGTTTTTGATGTATGTTATTTACACTTCTGATGAAGCCAACTGGCGAAACGCGTTAAGTGTTATCTTATATAGCATTTTGTTTTACTTGTGTTATTATTAAATATATTTTTAAAGTGATACTCTATTCTACTATATAATTTATTTTCATCATCAACTTCCTGGCCTACGTATCCTACATTGGGGATTATACCACTGCAAGCCCTATATACTAGAGTAAGTTGTCTGCTCTAGCAAATGTGAGTATAATTACCTTCATTTATTCCTTTATATTTGGATTTGGAACTACTATACCATTGGAGTTTCTTCTTTTCCATTTCATCCGTACCACCATACCATTGGAGTGCCAAAGACGTTGGACCTCTAATCCTGAGACGGGGATTGTACCGTCCGTGCAAATTACGGTAGAGCTTCCAATATAGCTCTACCAAATGATAAATTATCTACAACAACTAAGAAACATCAAGTGTATGTATATACAGCTTATGTAAGGCACGGTTTCCTCCCTCTTTTTCTATACTGACACTTGGGCGGCAGCAATGACCATAGTACATACAGTAAAAACCAAAGAAAAAAAAAGTTACCTGCTCACTTCCCAAATCCCTATGCATATTTAAACAAATTAAGGTTATTTAGTAACTCCAATGGCCGTTAGATGCAAGCCCACCTGCCACGTCAAGGCAAACCTGTGTTTGTGTGTACATGCTTAGCAGATTGTGTGTGTATACAAGTGAGGGGGTGACAAGGGCAGCAAATACCCCCCCAGGGAAAAGCCTTACAATACCATTCTTCTGCTTATCATTACAGTTGGTACACTGGTTAGATAACTTTAGAATACTTTAGGAATGAGTCAGCAGTTAAGAAGTATGCAGGCCCTTTTGCTGGCCTACACACAGATCTGTGATTTTTGTATGCAAATAAAAAGCCCTTCATTTGTATTTGCCCCCTGGCCAAATATTACCAACAGTTCCTTAGTTGTATGTGTAGCAGTGTGTGTTTTTATTGGTCTTAAGTGTGTATGCGTATATGTAATAGAGTATATGTGTTGGTCAATAATTGTGTGTGCAGAAGTGATGATCTCCCGGCCAAGCCAATGCTTCTTAAAGAGACCCATTGAGTTTGCCTGTGCAACCATTGCTGCATTTCAATAAGGGGCCCTCGTTTCTGCCTTGACGGAGTGATCAAGGCAAATGAGGAAGGGAGCCCTCCAGCTGTATGGTTGCCAGCCTGGAGGTGTCACCGGGAAGGGACAGGCATTGTTACTGCAGTAGGCTGCTTTTTGTTTAACCAAGTAAAAAGAGGAAAACAAAAAAAACCCTTTACCATTAATATATATAGTATGACATGAATACAATATAGCAAGATAGATGGCAAATGGAGGATGATATGTGACACATATGGAATTAAAGTAGAACCACCACATCTTTGTATATCACATTACTGAACAAAACACTGAAAATCAACACATTTATTTTTTTTCTTTCCATGTGATGCTTTATTTCATATTTAGCTCAGTCAAGGCACACTCGGGGCACATGCTGCAAATGAGGAGAAATAGAAAATGTTTAATTTCTACTCCTCTATGTGGACAGCCAGGTGCAAAATGAAGCCTACATCTAAAATAACTACTCCAACCAGCATGACCATTTGTGCTTTTAAAAGTGGTCATGGTGGTAGGAGTCTGTACAGTGTTTCTGCTTGACATTTCCACTTTTGTGTCAGTGGCCCTGGCGCACGTGACATAGGCAGCACAGGTCTGGGCTGCCTAATATCCATTCTGTGCAAATAAAAATACATCTGTTGTTGGCAGGTGACAGATGTTACTACCTTTTAACCTTGTCGGCAGTGTTGGGATCGTGCCTGCAAAGGAAAGCATCTAACTCCCCTCTCTCTGTACCTACCTATCTTTTTTTTTCAGCGCTTCCCTCCTCCCTATTTGTTAACATTAGCTATTTTCTTTTTTCAAACTATGACCCCTCTGCAGCTCACTGAGCTCTCTAAGCTAGGAGAACTGTCACGGAGAAGAATTTGATTGGACCAAGGACGGAAGCAGTGATGGCAGATGGGGCATGAAAGATCTCTTGCAAAGCTCTCGCCTGAAAAAGGGGAAGGTGGAAGGAGTGGGTGGACAGATATAGTGCCCAACAGGGCATTATCTATTGAAAACCCAATTTGGTAAAACAAAAAAAAACAAAAAAAACATTTGAGCAGCACTTTAATTTTATTTCTTTTATGACTCACAAACATACATTTGTTTAATATGGAGGATAAGTAAAGAGTAAAAATCCCAGAAAGTGACAATTCTCTAAGAGACCTTCATTCACTGAAAATTAAGCTTCAGTGATTTGAAAACGGATTTGCAAAACATGGGACAAAATAGCTGATTTGGACAAATTCTCACACGAACGGTATGACTATTTTAGCCTAAAATTTTGCAATTTGGTTTTCAATTCACTATAATGCAGTGTCTAACAAATAAATCCGACATAGATAACAGATTTGGCATAACCTCACTTGCAAAAGGATTGGGAACAGTAACATACCAATCTTCAGTTTGTAAGAAATTATGATTAATAATGTTTAATTACCAAGCGTTTTAAGAAAGCCTAGCTGCCAGTATGTGCTTGATGTGAGAACAGATATTTACCTTATGTCTATTTATGTATCTTAGATTATATTTGCATCCCTTCCAGACACTGAACACAATACCTACACTCATGCAGTTAATAGTGTATATACACACTTAATTATATGTATGTACACATAGATTAAAAAAAGTAAATTCAAAGGAATCTGAAAGTCTTCAGCAAAATTTTAGTTATAATTAACAAAATATATAGGGAGGGTTAGGGTCATAGAAGGCACACCCACTGAAAGATGGATTAAATTTACAGTGAAAAACACTTAAGGCAGACATGCCAGCACATGTTATGGGTTAGCATATTGCTCCAGAAGCTGCATTCCACGAATACATGTGTGATGTCAGTCAGTATTCTTGAAAAATTCCATCACCCACACACAGAATTAGACAGGGAATGGTGAGCAAGAAGCACGTGGCACTACTGCAGGGAGCGGAGATATCAAATTGCTGATCTTAAAATAAATGGTTAAACAAGAAGTGTCAAATTTCTTGAAGCATAACTCTGGGATACTGGAAGCTATGTCCACAAAGCAAGCTGTTCAGGGCTAGACTTGCATCTTCTGCACTCCTGCTCTCACTTTTAAAATATATTATTCATTCAAAAATAGAAGTGTATAACTTTTCTTAGCATTAACAACACTGTACCTGATCGTTCAAAGGAAGACAAAAGGCAGCCACGTATCCTTTAATGATGCTCTAAACCAGGGGTGTCCAAAAAGTAGATTCCCAGATGTTTTAGAACTACAACTCACAAGATACTTTGCATGCGATAAGAATGTCTTTAGAATGACAAAAGCATCATGGAAGCGGCTTCCCTGCTCTAAAATGTACCAACAGAATTTCAATTTCAGGCTCTGGCAGAGCCGTATTCGGTTTGTTCCGGTGACACCATTGAGCAAAGCTTGCACAGAAAATACTAAAGCATGAAAAAAAGCAATTGATAACACATAATATGACCCAAACTATATAAAGAGACATGGCATCACAAACATTATATTAACATTATTTTATGACAACAGTTTTTCTCTAACTGATGGCAGTCTAGCATATATTTACGCTTTATGACTGAGGTTTTTTTATGAGATGGCTGCCTGGAGAAGATGCTCCCTAATGCTACAAAGAACATATACAAACAAAATCAGTATTGAAAAAGAAGCTTACAATGTCTCCTGCCACTCTAAGTCCCATCAGCCTACAGAAAAAAAATGAAACTGCATCTATACACCGTCAGCCAAGTGAAAGCCTCCCAGTAGTTTTAGTATCCGTGATACTTTATCAGGAATAAGGAAAAAAGTTCTGACACACAGAAACATCTTTTTTAGTAAAGATATACTAGGTTTATTATATTGAGAAACATGATAATAAATAAAACTTATTTTACTGTTCTATTGCAGTGCACAAGGATCATTAGGCATATGAAAACAGCACTAGGTTAAATCTTCAGTGATCATGAACACAAAGCAAAATGCAACATTTCACAAAAAGATGCTTGCACAGTATGAAGAAAAGGCTTCATGGCAGACTTCAGACCTGTGTGCTTTTGCTTAAATTTCCTTTTAAAAAGGTTGTGTTAAAGGATGTTCTGAGTGAAGGACTCCATATATTATGCTCTCAATTTCTTTAAAGCAAAATAAAACGATATTTTTTTAAATATAAGATGGGTCAAAATTCATTTTTGGAAAAATATACGCCTTTGAAGCCAATTAACTGATGTCCTGAGTAGTTATCCATATAATACATGTTTGGTCATAGCTACAAATGCCTGGGATAGAAAAACATTACTTCCATATCAAGTAGTTTTTTTGGCCTCCAGGCCTTCTCTCCTCAGTATGGCAGAGATCTGCAAACGTTCACGTGAGAGATTAGGAGTAATCCTCAATGAGGGATGTAGTCCGGAGGAGAAATAATCAGAGAATAATATACATTTATTTTGGAAGCAGAATGATCAGATATCAGTGGTTGGCTCTTATTTTCCGTTTTGCATCCTTGTGCCTTTTCCTGCACTCCTACAAAACAGACAGACAGACATCAGGAATAGGAAACAAGAAGTCTGCAATGACAGATTTGCATTATCAATGACCGGGGTGAAGTGCTTTAGTCACAGAAATTACACTCTAAACAAATACTTGTGTCTTAAACTACTTGCATCACTGACAGATAATGGCAATGCTGCAAAACAAACATCCACAAGGGTGTGCTGCCTATGTACTAGTCATGTGCTACATCCCAGAATAGCCAACAGGTCTGGGAATTTGCAGCAAATAAAGGATATATAGTATATCACATATCCTCAAAAGGATTAGGAGAGGGAGGGGTAGATTCCAGCATGGAATGTCCCATTAAAGGGCCACTTTAGGCACCCAGACCACTTCAGCTCAATGAAGCCCGGCACTGGATTAAGGTAAGTGGCTGAAGGGATTTTAACCCCTTCAGCGCTGGGGGAGGGGGCACTCCAAGAGCCTATAGTGCCAGGGTTTGTTTTCCTGGCATTATAGGATCCCTTTAATGCTAAAACCCAAGTTATGACACATAACAGTGGGTGCAACAGTGTGTAGTACTCTGTCATAATAGAATCTTACCTCCATGATTGATTCTTTCCTCTGTTCCCAGACTTCTTCTTCCTCCTCCAAGTTTGAGGATGGGAAAAACATTTTTGGCCCCGCTAAATAAAATGGTAATGTGGTGCATTAGCTAATACAAAACAATTTTTTTTTTTTTTAATCCTCCAAAAACATTTCTAAATACTTGCTACATCAATAGTTTGTGTGTGTATGTATATATATATATATATATATATCTATATCAATCTTAGTGCTAGGCATGAAATCATGCATTTACACATTCAAGCTGCTTAGTGCAATATGAACACTATTCTGATCAATCCTTGGGGAAAAATGATTGTTTTAGATCTCTCAGTTAAAGAAAACAAGGAAATACATTTTCTTTGATCTGAAGAATGCATATAAGCAGGAAGTAAAAAATTATAGATCATAAAGAAAGAATTTCTTGGTGCATTTACTCCTCTACAACCCCCCCCTCCCCCCCAAAAACAAACAAAAAAAAACACAAAAAGGTGTGCTTAGTGATTTGCTTTCTGATATCATTAACACAAGAAAGAGCATATCTAAATTTACAAAAAAATTTTTAGATATAATTAATAGCACCAATAACCCTGCAACTTTAATTACTTTCTTGGTGTGTTTAAAAAGACACAACTCAAGCACACAGTTTCTACAGAAGTATTATAACAAATGGGATACAGTCAGGCTACTGCAATGGGAGAACTGTGTGGTGATTGGCTATATTCTTCACCAGTAACACTGACTGAACACTGCCAAAACATTCAGGACTATTTACTAAAATGAGAATTCAAAAGATTTGCTAATTTAAAGTCAAAATAAGTGAACCAGAAAAATTATCTACATCAGGAATGTGTCCAGTTTGGCTACTTTGGCTTTAAATTTGAAATTCATTTTAGTCTGTAATGAATTACTATGACTCTGAAAACCAGATAAACCGCACCTCGGATGCAGGACATATCCAACAACGGACTAGACAAAGAACAATATATACCACAATGTGTCCAAGGCATAGGAGGGCATACACAGTTAGGAGGTTGATGTAACCACGCTTGTGGGTGGGATTGTTTCTACACTACACTATATTTTTAGGCAAAGAAATATTTTACTACTACACTGAAACATCCTTACACCATGAGATAAATAACCAAACATTCTTGCTGGAAACTAGGTTAATTTCTTAAGAGATTTTGTTTTGCATTCATAATTTTTATTTTAGTTTTTTTAAATACATGACGATAGAAAACAAGTGTACAAAACAAAACACAAGTATGAAAGCAATGTAATTACCTACTAAAGAAAAATCATTCCCAAAATGAATGTTACTCTAGAGAGGACGACATCTTAAAGTGGCTCTGTCACTCCCCCACCGCTATTGGTATGTCTAAAATCCCCCTTGACTGTCCGGTTTTTATTTTATTTAAAGTTTATTTGCAAGTTATAGATTATGAAAAGTAGGAACTAATTCCTCTTATGTATAAATGGCAAGGTGACAAAAGGCAACGACAACTATCAGCTTACCTTTCAGTCTCTCATCATCTTTCACAAAGAAAAAGAAACGGATGTTGCTTTTAGAGGCTTCTGATAGTATACTGAAAGGGTAAAACAAATAATGAGATAATTTTAGCAATTATAGGGCTTTTAATAAGAAATATATGACATTTTGTGAGAGAAGAGAAATAAAATAACTAACTTTATATCTTTATTTAAATACAGATAGTAGTACAATACAGCATCAAAATGCCATTGGCCCAAAAGTAGAGTACACAACACAACACATTGCATCCCACGTCTGCTTTTCAATATAATGAGGCCAGGTAAATAACCTTCCATAATAGAGATAGGATAGAACCAGAAAGAAAGAAGAGAAAAGGAAATGGAGAATTGTCGCAGGGAAGTGGGTAAGTAAAAAGCATCCCTCCACTAACAAATGGCCCTAATGATCCTTATAAGACTCCCATGGCAGCCTAACAGTTTGGGAAATGGGTTAATTTGTCCATTAAATAAGTATCCTTGGTTTTAAGGATAACTGTTGCCATAAAGGGAATGTCATGTATTACAGGCAATAAGTACAGTATGTACCTTGGTGTTTGTTCTTTAGTAAGGATTGCAGCATTGTCGTCATCTTCATCTTCTCCCTCTGAACTACTGTCTTGGAATCGGGGGTCTTCTTGCCATGCCACCTTGGCAGGGTTAATAGTCTCAAATGAATAGGGCACTGTAGACAGAAACGTATTTCTTTTTAATTGCTTATTAACGGTTTTCATTTCTAAGCAGTGTCAGATGTACCATATAGACAACCCAGGTTTTTAACGACCAAAAAAATAAATAAAATACAAAAAAAAACACACACAGCAAAAAAACTAAACAAAACCAAACAAGTACATATTGGTGTGGTGAGAACTAATGATGTGTTTCTCACATAACACGAAGGCAATGCCAGTGGATCCAAGCATAATGAAATGAGAGGTAACAGATAAATGAAACAAAAATAAGAATGAAAATGGTAAATACAGACAGGACAAATGTAAAGTAAGAAATGAACAAAATATATCAATTTATAGAACAAAAAATGATAATCTATACCTCTACCCCATTACTTTTTTGTTTCTGCTCTAATGCCAAACATGATGAAGAGAGAGAAAAAAAAGCCCCCAAAAGACAAAAACCAAACGTTTTGCAACTAATGCGGCTCAATAAGTTATGTTTTTTTTTTTTGTATTATGTTCAGATGAACAATTTCTCAGTGACCATTATGCAGCAAGAATCAAAATTTCTCATTTACTAGCCATTGGCAAGAGAAAATGCTGCCTGGCAGTGGACCCTTGCAGTGGCAAGTAACTTTTAGGCCTGCCAAATACACAAGGTATATTGTAGATTAGATGAATATACATTACAACACTTGGTAGGCATGCATTACATGCCTACCATAACTGGAATGATCCATTCTGACTCAGTAAAGTTAATTATACATTGTAACAGTACTTTTAAAGGGCCAATGTAAGCACAGGAACCAATATAGCTTAATGTGGGTCTATTGGAAAGAGATCCTTGCAGTGTCTCAATTGCTTTTCTGAGAAGAGGCAGTGTCTACACTGAACTATAAGGACTGTTACCAAGGGCAGTCATTAGAGGTACTTCCTATTGAGGTCCTGAATTCTTTGCTGGACTCAGCAAGACATTGAAAGCTTCTCATCGCAATGGAGTAAGCCAATGCATCTCTCTAAGGAGATGCGGATTGGCTCTACACAATGATTGCTGCGCATGTGCTCCCCCAATACTTCCATATCACGGATAATAGAATTCTAACTAGGCAGGAGAACATTCTAACATTAGAAATGCAGGAAGAACCTTTAATTTTCCAACTGGTGAAGTCACTAGCTAGAATCATATGATTTGATTTCTTACCTTCTTTAGAATCATGGTCCTCTGTATTAGCCCCAAAGAAAGAGAAAGTGAATCCTGCAGGCTCCTCCTCTTTTGATTTTTGTAAGCTGAAATATTCATGCATGGTAGAGTTCTCCACTCCCACCTTTTTCGTTTCATCCTCTTGGTCCCATGTGATCACAGGATCCTCACTCTCTTTGGGTTTTGAGGTTCCAAATACTTCTTTTAAGTCCACTGCCACTTCATGGTAGGTTTCTACAGACACTTCTGGTAGCTTTTCTGCTTCTAGACGCCTTTTTTTCCGCTCAGATTTACTGCAGGAAAGCATATAATTCCATTAGGTCACAGTATTTAATACTTTCGCAGAAATCCAATCCAGGAGAAAGAGGGGGAAAAAAAACAAACTACAGCCGATTATGATTACATCTATTTATGTACAAATACAGTAAGTTCTAATACATGTTTTCTGACTTTCCCTGTATATCATTGCCAAGTGTAATGTTAGATATGAATTAGAAGATAGTCTCACTCCATTTCTATATGCTTGTGGAATGCACGTTGGGCCCCTTTTATCATGCACTGTCTATCTTTGGTAGGGATCCCATTTAAAATCATCATGTCCCAATAGTAAAGAATATAGTTGGTGAGACAGCTCAGCAATATTCTGCTGTACTTCACGTATGTGTTACAAGTGCAGGATTAAAAGGTCCCATCACGGTGCACTCATCCTTCTACAATGAATAAAATGAATAAAAGGGAGCTGGAGAATTTCACTTTATCTTTGCAAACAAAATGATGTCTCACAGTACTAGAGTACTGTGACTCCCTTACTGTCAGTAAGGAAAGCAGCATTATGCATTAGTAAATAAACCAACCCCACATTGTTCGTCGGTACAAACAATTACCGACTGTGATGCTGGATAAGACCCAATTGACCCATTTCATCTGGAAAGAAGAGTCTGGTTTTGCTATACCCACTACACTTCCTGTAAAGAAGTATTCATTTTCATATTCCTCAGTCTACCACACTCCAATGTCACACCAGAACAGAGACCTATATTAAATATGGAAGAAGCCACAATCTAACATATGACTGTAGTAAACCTCTAAGAGGTAATGAAGCATTAAAATGTAAAGGTGATTACATAGTTGAGAGTTTACAATCGTAAAAAACACACATTTAAAAAACAATTACCTTTCTTTCTTTTTTTTGGTCTCTTCGGTCTGTGTTTCAAATGCTGCATGATCCTCATTCGTGGGGTCATATTGAAGGGCATTTAGATCTCTGAGAGAGAGATGAATGGGTGTGATGTCAAAATTTAAGAAACTCCTGAGAGTGACTCACTGCTCAAACATGAATCGAACAATGTATTGCATTATGTATTCTGTAACTGATGGTCTGAGGCAAAATGTTTTAATCACTTGTCTCAATATGCCATTCCAGTTGAATAAGAACAAATGATCAACGCAATGAAATCTGTGGATCTTACAATATTGCCAGTGTACAACAGAGTCCTATAGCCAAAAGTACATTTATTATCTGCCCTTGGAAATTAAAGAAGGATTACAATTTTAACTTATTAACTGTACAGTATTAGGGCCTTTTTATTGAAAGGAACACTCATATTATTCTGCGTTACAGGGACACTCCAGGTCCCTAACGCACTTTAGTTTGCTGAAAAGCTTTGTGTGTGAAGATGTTGTTTCTTTTTTTCATTTTGCAAAAAGTGTAGATTTCAGTAGAAATGTATACTTTTATAACTTAACATTGTTCTATACCTCCCGGCTTTCAAGCAGATATGTCCTGTTACTTCCTGGTTGTTTAGCTCAATAGAGCTAAACACAAGAGGCAGCAATTGCTCAGAGCACCTGCCTTACAAAGACTTCTTATTGAGCTGCATTGGAAAGTATGTGATTGGAAGACCACAGAAAGAGTGGGTGAGGTTAGAAGAGGAGAGCTTGCAAAGACTGCAGACAAGAGGACTGCAGGTTTTGTAAGCGGTTTATAGATTCAAGCACAATAAAAAGATGAATTATTAAATGCATGCAAGTTTTCATTTGGTGTATATCTACTAAACAGTGATTTTTATTTTGTATTTGGGCAGCAGAGTTTCCCTTTAAATCACGGTTTACATTAATTTAGCAAAAACTAGTCATACTTGAATTTTTTTGCTTTGGCGGACTGTTTGCTTGGTGCTTGTGGCTCTGTATTGATGTTTAGAAGACTATTTAAGATGTCCAAGTTTTTCTTTTTTTCTGCTGATAGGTCATCTTCAGCTTCACTTGTTTGTGCTTTCTGTTGGGATTCTAGATGCATGAGAGTAAACTAGTTACATATCCCTAAAGAGGAATAATATCCAACAAATATAACTGAAACACTTGCACAGGTAAATGGAAGCAAAAAGGGGATAAACAAAATACACAAGAAAACATGCATGTATAGTGCTATCTCAGATCTGTGCCTTTAATGTTGTTTGGGTCCCACAGTTTATCAAGAAACAATTGTAGGGTTATTCACTAAAGTTTAGGCCAAAGTAGCTGAGCAGGAATCCCCCCCCCCCCAAAAAAACCCCAAAACAATTAAACAAACCAATACATAAATAAATCAATAACTGGTTACAATTCACCTACACACATCCAACATTTTAAAATTAATTTTAATACCAAACAATTCACACTTTAGTTAATTATTGTGTTAAATTGAAAAGAAGTAAATGCAGTTACAAGTTCTTATTTTTTTTGCAGTGCATATCTAGATTACAACGTGCGCGAGGTACCCCAGCGGCAATCCTCATGCATTATTAGAACATATATAACAATTGGGCGGGCGAAATTCTGCTGTCCTCTGCTCTCCAGCTTTGCCCAAAAGGCGTTGAATATGGCATTAAGCCTGGTCAGGATGTCGGGCCGTTCTTTGCGGCAGGAGCAGTCACAGGTGGCGTCCGCCATTGTGCTAGCCGTCGTTACTGGAGGCTGCTCGTGTGGTTTCACGTCTGTGTTCGTTGTGGCAAGGCTACTTGGAGGGGTTGGACCGGGATTACCCCCACCAGTCCTGAGGAGGGGGAAGCGGGCAGTCAGTGGCTCTGTACCCCCGGCGTAGGGGCGAGGAGAGCGGCAGCCTCTCTACAGTCCCATCCGCCATAGGCCACTGCTTACCATATCGGGTTCTCGTTTGCAGGAGACACTAGTGTCTGGCAATTACTCAGGGTGCCCCCGATGTGGGGAGCGTACCCCGGCATCTGTACAAGCATCGAGTGAGTATCTCCATTATTTCAACAGGGGCACAGTGGGAGCCCCTTTAACATTCTGTTTGCAGGTCAAGCTCCTCCCTCCCTCCTCCCAGTTACAACAAGTTAAAGCAAGTTTTATTTTCCTGGTAAAGCATTCCTTACCTTCAATCTGCTCATCTTCACTACTTGTATCCAGGAAGCGGGAGTCCATTCGGAAACGCTCATCTGTTCCAAAGCGGGATTGTAAACCCAAGAGCTGCATAAAAACATGTTACCATGTCATGGACAGCTTTTTAATTTGCAAATTAACAAAATATGTTCAAAACCACATGGTAACAGCACAGTAGCTTTGGTTAATGGCAAAGGACTTCTACGGTCCATGATTTTTGCAGCCATTCCAAACTGTGACATTTAGCCATTTTAAACTACACTTTCACCGCTTTTGAACAATCCCATCTTATTAACTGATGTTCGAAGCCTGATGTTCCCCCGTGTGGGCACTCCAACAGAGAGACTCCAACCTATGCTTATTGCAAAAGCAGTCCACAATTGCTCATCTGTGTCAATCTGCACAGTCAGCATGTGGAGTAAACTATGTTCAAAAAGGTCAATGAGGCTTTCAGCAAACTGAGCTGTTGTGGTATTGCTCCTACCAACTTATTTAGCCATTTCTCTCTTTAAATCTGATGATTTGAACGATCCATAACCACATGTAGCAAAAACCGCTGATAATGGCAACGATTCGGCTCATTTTGATGATATCTAACAGAGCTGGAGTTAGATTCAAGATGCATAAAATGCTTGTAAACAATGCTAGTTTGATATATATTTCTTTACAAACAAATAAAATGCACAACCCATGTACACCTTTCCTGTGACGCTTCCTGTTAATACAATATGTTTATGAGTGTATACATCTGTATATTATATAAAAAATAAAAATTCTGATGATTTGTACTGCAGCCAACATAGACCAAGGCTGGGAGGGGTCCCTGTGGTTTAGAAGTGGCTATAGAAACTTTTTAAATTCATTTTTTTTATATGTTAAAAATGCACTAATTATAGAATACATTAAAAGGTGGGACTCAATTCTATGACGGGGTAGGATTTTAATAAGCTACAACTTAGACAGACCTTTGCTCCAGCCCGGCCTTCATACTGAGATTTGATTTGGAACCTCTCCTCATCCTCTGTACTACCTTCATCAGACTCTTCATCACTGCGGTCAAATAGTTTTGGAGTCGGATTTTGTACCTAATGGAGAAAAAATAAATAAATAACCTGAACATCCTTACTATGATACAGTATATTTATATATTTTTTATAAACGCACTCATTAACATGGAACAATGGCATGAATAGGTAATCAATAGACTTGTACATGGCGTAACAAATGTGACATTTCATTTCAGACAAATTTCATGAAAAACTATTCAGATGAGCCAAAAGTGTACAGCAAATATATACACACACACACAATATAAATATTAGATATACATTTTGCAGCACACAGGTGCATTTTGTTCATAAATCAAATGAGAAGTGACCTATAGTGGTGAAAAAATAAATAAATGATATAGATCATATATTTATTCTTTCTAGTGGCCATTTCTTACTTGATCTGTGAATAAAATCAACATTTAGTGGTTGTCGCCTAACCAGTCAGCTCTTTGTCAGTTTTCTTATTCAGCCATATGAAGTTACAGAATTCACAACAACCACTGATTGCCCAAAATTTGTACAACTCCGAATGTGCACAAGTCTAGTAATTATTGTGATAGTTGAACTGTTTAGAAACATAGAATATGACGGCAGATAAGAACCATTTGGCCCATCTAGTCTGCCCAATTTTCTAATACTTTAATTAGTCTCTCGCCTTGTCTCATATCTAGGATAGCCTTATGCCTATCCCACGCATGCCTAAACTCCCTCACTGTGTTAACCTCTACAACTGCAGCTGGAAGGCTATTCCATGCATCAACTACCCTCTCAGTAAAGCAATACTATCTGATATTGTTAAACCTTTGCCCCTCTAATTTAAGACTGTGCCCTCTTGTTTTGGTAGTTTTTCTTCTTTTAAATATAGTCTCCTCCTTTACTGTGTTGATTCCCTTTATGTATTTAAATGTTTCTATCATAACCCCTATCTCATCTTTCCTCCAAGCTATACATGTTAAGTTCCTTTAACCTTTCCTAGTAAGTTTATACCCTGCAATCCATGAACCAGTTTAGTAGCCCTTCTCTGAACTCTCGCTAAAGTATCAATATCCTTCTGGAGATACGGTCTCCAGTACTGCGTACAATACTCCAAGTAAGGTCTCCCCAGTCTTCTATACAATGGCATGAGCACTTCCCTCATTCTACTGCTAATACCTCTCCCTATACAACCAAGCATTCTGCTAGCATTTCCTGCTGCTCTATTACATTGTCTGCCTACCTTTAAGTCATCAGAAATAATTACCCCTAAATCCATTTCCTCAGATGTTGAGGTTAGGACTATATCAAATATTCTGTGCTCTGCCCTTAGGTTCTTATGTCCAAGATGCATTATCTTGCACTTATCCACATTAAATGTCAGTTTCTATTGCATTAGATTGTTCATTTAAATAGTTCAGCCTCTTTCGATTAAGTTTACATGTGTTTTACAACTGTCCCCTAGATAAATGTTGAACAATGTTAGCATATGGATACTTACCTTGTCAGAAGGGGTACTAATTTGGTCACTCTTCTTTGTTTCCTCTTCACTTTCTTCCTCGGAGTCCGAATCAAACTTAATGTGTTGAGCTTTGCTTGAGGACTGGGAATCCTAAAATACAAGAACACTTATAATTTTGAAAACATTAAACGGACAGTTCATTTCAGGTCACCAACAGAAGCCTCAATTTAATAATTTTTCCCAAATGATTTGATATCTTTGGATAAACTTTTAAAACTATAATATTAGGAGACATTATATATATATATTGGATAAGCTTTTCAAATGATTACATATTTTTGGATAAACTTTTGAAATGGCTTTCTCAATTTAAGATATAAAAACGTATGTATATAACAAAAAAAAAAAAAATCAAGATATTTAAAAAATAAAAATTATATATATATATACACATATATATATATACACACACACACACACACACACACACACACACACACACACACACATATTTTGATATTTTAACAAGTTGAAAAAGTCATTTCAAAAGTTTATCCAAATATAGGAAATCATTTGGAAAGCTTATCCAACAATAATAAAATCAAGGACATAATAAAGTTTAAAGAGACACGACATGTACAACAATCAATACAACATATAGTAATGGTAAAAAAAAAAAGTTTCGGGAAGTAACAAAAAAGACTCACATTAGCTCCTTGAAAATTACACAGGAGAGAAAATCCAACTTGTTTCGCGTGAACGTACTTCTTTTCACAAGAAACGCCCTGATTTTGTCCCCTGAGGAATTTTTCAGCCAGATTCTGCTTTTTTGTATTGAAGAATGTTTTTGAACAGGTTTAAATAAATGTTTGTCTTAAAAGAAAACAACAGCTTGTGCAGCATCGGCCACTTTATTGTTAATGTATATTAGACATGACCTACAAGTAAATTAATATTTAGAAAGAACATAGGGGGATTTCACGGAAGGTTGGTTTATGGATATAAAGCATAGATTGTAAGTTAATTTGGGCAGGGCCCTCTTTACCTAGTGCTTCTGCCACCGTTACTTTGTATGTCAGCTTGTTATTTTATCTTCCCTGTTTAATTGTAAAATTCGGCAGAATATGTTGGTGCTATGTAAATGCTAATAATAATGAAGTCAGAATTCAAATATCTTTTGTTTTTAAATCATATTTCACTTCATCTTTTATGCAGATGTTTTCCATTTTGATATACTGGGAATAAATGTATCCACAAATGTGTAAAGGTTTATTTTTCTATACTTAGTGTATATTTAGCTACAGCATTTACAGAGAGACTTACCAATTTAAGCAGAGCCCCTTGGATTGCCAGTTTCTGTTTCTCCCGCTCTATCCTTCTCTCCTCCATGGCAGCCAAACGTTTCTTATTATCCTCCAACTTCTCGGTAATGCTGCGCTTCTTTGTTTCACTCTTCCCACCATTTTGAGAACTGATGCACTGTGAGGCCTTATCAGGAGCCGGTGGTGAAGTGACAATGCTTGGTCCCTCGTCACTACTAGATGACGACTCCTCGCTGCTACTACTACTCCTCCTCGGATTTAGTTTTTCAGCTTTGTTTCTTTTAACTTGAGGTTGGTTGGGAGCTTGATCTTTACCTTGCTGATCAGCGCTAAATTCACAATTATCTGCTGAACCCGGGTCTTGCTCCAGTCCTTTTGTGGAGATAAAAACATCAATCTCACTCCTTTTAATCACTTTACTACTTTTGTTTGTTGCTAATTTGCCTTGGTTAGAAGGGCTGACAATGACATTAGAAAATGAATTTACAGAAGCATTTGATTCTTCAGAAGGACATGATGTTAAAAGTGACCCCAAGCCTTTAAAAGCTGGAAGTTTTATTGGAGGTGCTTTTTTCTTTTTCCGTTTATTGTCACAGCTATCATCACTATCTTCCAAAATGGAAGCCACAATATCTTCTGGGTCCATACCCTTTTTCACTTTCTGTGTCACAACAGGTGTTTTCCGTGCACTAGGTAGGTCTTCTATCACGTGACTCTCAACGGTTCTATTCACCGTTTCATCTTCTGAAGAATCTTTAGCTTCATTGGCTAATTTTTCCAAGTCAGCCATTGAAAGAGTTAACCTCTGACAGTTTTGCATCATGGTGTCATACTCTTCGTCGGAATAGGAGTCACTACTGTCTGATCCTGAATGGTTTTGATTCTCGTCTCTCTCGGTCTCATCTTCTGAAGACTCTCTTGTTTTGTTGGCTGGTTCCTCCAGCTCTCCCATTGAAAGAGGTAACATGTGGCTGTTTTGCATTGACTCATACTCTTCATCAGAATAGGAATCGCTACTGACTGATGCAGAATCATCATTCCCACTACCTGACTCTGATTTGTCTTCAATAGGAGGTGTGATATCTGGTTTCAGTTTTTTTAACTGGATGTCTGAAGGACCTAGTTTACGTTTTTTGGCAGGAATTGGACACTTTTCATTTACAGTGTCTTTCTCTACATCTTTGACATTTTTGGAAACTGCAATAATTTCATCTGTATCAGCAGAGTCATATTCATCATCTTCCGCATTCTTACATAGTTCCTTTACAGCATTTTTATCTTGTCTTGACCAATGACTGCTATAACTCATCTTAAAGGAGTCACCCACAACCTCTAGGTTAGTGTCTTCAATCATATTGCCTCGGTTTTCTGCTTTTTTATCACTATCTAACCATGCTCGTAGCTCTTCTCCAGAATCATATTCGTCATCAGAAGACATGTGGTTTCTGTATCCTCTACGTTGGTCATCCAGAATCTTTAAAGAGCTTACCTTTGCTTGAGTTGCACTAGAAGACTGTTTAATTACGTGGTCACTACCTTGCTGAGATATTTTTAATTTTTGTGATTCAAAATGCTCCTCTGTACCTAGATTTTTTTTCTGCAATTGGAGTTTCTTTGTATTAGGGCTTTTGTAAGCTGGAAACTCTCCCCTGCGTTTTTTGCTGATCTCGTTATCACCTCCTTCAAGCTGCCAGGTCAGTTCTGATACTGGAGTCATCTCAACAGAACTGTCCTCCAATTTTTTAATATTGTGGCAGTATTTTGAAGGGTCATATTTAATGCTGTTTGTTTGAGTAAAGGAATGATCTCAGTTATGGTAATACAATTTACGACAGATTCAAAAAAGTGATCATGTGTAAAAATACAATTTAGATCTGTGTTCTACTGTGATTCTCCAAAGGCTGCTAGACAAGATTTTCCAGAATTCACTTTAAGTGGTTAATGGGAAACTATAGTGCCAGAAAAACAAACAAAGTTATTTTCCTGGCACTATAGCTTCCCCTCAGTCAAGCGCCCCCAGAGTTTCTACAGCTGCCAATGCTAAATAAGCAAGATGTTAAAGGGATACTATAGGCACCAAAACAACTTTAGCTTATGGTGTATAGATCATGCTCCTGCAGCTCAATTAGCTACCATTTGGGAGTGAAATCACTTTGTTTATACAGCCCTGGACACACCACTCTGCATGCGACTTCCACAGCCTTCCTAAGCACTTAGAGACATCTAATGTTTAAACTTCCTTTACTGTACTTTCGTTTAATTTACAATGTATCCCCTGCTCTGTTAATAGCCTTCTAGACCCTACATGAGCACCCTGTGTGTGCTTAAAGTTCAACATACAAAAAAAACTTCTAAAGTAAGTTAACATCTGATTGAAAATAAAATGTTTGGCTGTATGAGTCACAGCCAGGGGAGGTGTGGATAGTTTGCATAAACAGAAACAAAAAAGTTTAAATGGCCGAGAGTTGACCAGTTAAACTGCACTGGCATGAATGATACACTAAAACAGCTTTATTAAGCTAAAAATTTTTGATGCTTGTAGTACTTCTTTAAATGCGGAGGATGGTACAAAATATTATTGGTCCTTATAGCAAGCCAGAGAGTAAGAGAACTATGTGCAGGAGGCACAGATATTTTTAATGAAAATTAACTATCAAATTTGTGAAAAGCTACAGTACGACGGTGAAGATGTTGGTAGTTTGCAGTTGCACCAAAAAGGATATTTTTCTCTTGTCGTTGCCTTTCAAATGAAGAACAGGTAGAACCCTGCCATATTTACTAACCACCCAATTCTGGAAACAAAAGAGCAGAATAAAATGTTTTAACAACAACAATATGTAATATCAATACTTAAAAATATTAGATATTTTCCTCTGAGTTTTCAGACTACTGTAATCACCTGCCTTATGATTTGGTACTTCGGTCCCCGGTACAGCAGCCTTCATCTGAAAATCTTGAACACCAGCTTCCTTTAGGGATTTTACCAAGTCAGGTTTTGAGTCTACCTGGGGCTTTATGCTTTCTTTAGTTTCTTGTCTCTCCCGTGACAACCTAAGTAGGAATAAAAACACAGAAATCAAGCACACTTGGGATATTAACTTGCCTGAATAGGACAGATGGTAAATTAACTCAGTGACATAACCTACTAGGACCAGGAAAAAGAAATACACAACTAACCTTGCATTTTGTCTATAGCCATAAGTTTATCAGGCATATGAAAACCAAAAGCTGCACAGCTCACATATTATACGAGTAAGAAAATCACCTATCATATTATCCTATGCCAAGGCCTTCTTCAGCTTGTGGACATAACTCCCCCTCACTGGAGGGAAAGAGATGTTGGGGAGGAGGCCTCAGGCAGCATGGAGGGTCTGGCAGTGCTGCCACTGGTTGTCTGTCGCCAGAATGCTAAGCATGCTGATGACATATGCCAAATATGCATATCTTTAACACTGGCCAGCCTGCCTTACTTTTTTCATCCAAATTTAAATTTGTAAAACAGTATTTGAACCTTTGATAGAAAAAAAATAAAAATAAAAAAAAAAATTCAGACCTGCAAAAAACAGTCATGTGAAACAAGGCTATAAAGTTACCTGTGTAAGAAGCTTTCTTTTGCCTTTTCAATCTGCAGGACTCCTCCCTTCCATTTTGTCTTATTAAGGGTGGATATACCTAACGGACAACGAGAATGTATACATATTTTTTATGCAAGATATAAGAAAGCATAATTTTACATAAAACATAACAAAATATTTGGAAATATATGTATAATGTCTTTAGGCAGCAATGGTAAATCAGAATACTGTGTTGAATTACATGTCCAATGATCCTCAGCCAGAAGAAGATGACAGAGCCCTTACTACGCCTTACTTAGAGCCAAATATCGACTATTTATAGGAGTGAATTTAGTAAACCCGTTACGGATTTTGAAGGAAAAGATACACATGATGTTTTGAGAGTCAATTTAATTAAAGGTAATATAAATCATGTTATTTGTAAACTAAGAAAATTACATTCCTTTTCAGGGGAAGCTATTAAGAATCATAGGCAATTTAACAGTAACAACAAGACAATACTTTCCTATATCCTCAAAATAAAAGCACTTTTTTTCGATTATCTGTGTGTTTTTTTTTGTTTAGGACATTTTAAAAGCATCAACATCATGCACAATGACTAATCTGGAAAAGTGAATTTTTAACATACACTTCCTTAAGTCTACATCCGAGATGCTGATGTTGAGGTAAGCAAATGTCTTCACAGGATTTCCTAAAAGAAAAACAAACAAGACAACAGGTTAAAGACTGAGCATCATATAAATGGAATACTTTTAAGAATCAGCTGTACATTTCATGCGAACATTTACTTCTCTGGAATATACACTTCTGCAGCTATAATTTTTCTCCATGGTAACATGCCCACTTTCAACACTCTTGCCTCCCCTTCTAACCCTGCCCAGACTTTCTGTGTCTGTCTAATCACAATGCAGCTCAGTGAGAAGTCATTGCAAAGCAGGTGCTCTGGGCAATTGCTGCCTCTTGAGTTTAGTTCTACTGAGCTAATGAAACCAGGAAGCAACAGGACCTTTTGTCTGCTTAAAAGCCAGGGGGATGTAACAAGGTAAATTTAGAAAAGTGCTGGGGGGAGGAGCGATGATGTAGCACGCTCACTAAGCTTGCGGGTTTAGGTGCCGGGAGAAGGACGATGGAGGGAGAACGCCATGGTCTTGGAAATTATTAACGGTGGATCCATGATAACACAGGATACTGGGCTAAAGAATTCTTTGGCACAATACAGTATCCCTATCAAATAAATCTTACCTAGATGCGGGCATGTGAGACCTGAACGTCCTGAACAGCAACATGTGGTTTACACACGGTGACGGGCTGTGAGGACTGCTTGGCTGCAGCACTACAAAGAACGCAGAGCTGTGGATTTCTCAAAAAAAAGAAAAAAAAAAAAAAGAAAAGTTCATCTGAAGTGCAAGCCAGCAGATCAGATCTTGGGAAAGGGGACCACTTCCTCACTACTAAAAAAAAACTGCCACAAGAACACGCGAAAAGCTCCCAATACTATATATGTATTCTAACTCAAAATCAGCTGGCATATAGAAGGGAAAAATAAAGTGTGTGTAATAATCATATAAATTATTTAAAAACTAACTGGCATGATCAAAAAAATCCTGTGTTAAAGTGAAAAAGGAAGTTAGATAAAGACTAAAGGGTGATGGATGCAACTATATCCTAACGGGAAGGAGGTGAGGGAAGATGAGAAATGGGTGAGATAATTTCTTTGTATAAACATACTACTTGAATACCCTGCCAGAATACCCATCCTGAAAATTTGTTTTTTGGAAACCTTGCTTATATACTACATTTGAAATCTTTATTTTTGACTTTTTCCTGGATACCCTGCTTGATTTTTATACTTGAATATCAAATAAAACGTTTGAAGGGAGAGAGGAGGGGAGGAAGGAGGAGAGAGTTATAAAAAAAGAAAGCAAATCCTGGAGAGAGGGAGATATAAGAAGGTCTAACATTGACAGAAAGAAGAAGAGAGAAAGGGAAGGATAAAAGAAAATATCCTACAATAAACCGATCCCTCCTTGCGTATTCCAAAAAGATTTTAATCTTTATGAAATGTGTTTTTGTTTTTTTTTTGCGACCAGGAAAACTCAAGAAAAAAATAAAAATAAAAAAAATAAAATAAAAAATCTTAAAACAAAAACAAAACACTGGAGAAACGCTAGTCTTTTTCTCTCCACAGTCCATGAAAACAGGGGATCAATCCCTTAAAATACACAATGAAGAATGTGAATCAAGAGAGGGTAGAAATTGTGATAATAGCAACTGAAGCACAGCAAGTGACGGTAGACTTACTAAACAGCACTTTGAAAACCCAATTTGAAAGGATCAAAAACGAAATTCAACGTTTCTCATAAGAGTTTAAAAACAATCTACTCAAATGAAAATTCTGAAAAAATTCAAACTACGGAATACGACTCGATACAATCCCAAAAGGAAATTGAGCAATTACAAATCAAAATAGCACAGTTGGAACAAAAACATGCAGATTTAGAAGATTGGCCACATCGCAATAACTTGAAAGTAAGGAATATTCACCTTACCGGAAGAAGTCACTACAGAAAAATTTGAATTTTTAAACAACTTATTTGTCAACTTGAACATAAAAAACGAGATATATGGTCCTTTAAAGGAACGGTGGCATAGAATACCCAAGCCTAAACATCTGACTACAAATTCCCCCAGAGACGTTATGATATGTTGTGCGTCCTTTCAAATTAAAAACAGCCAGAATAACTTCTATCAGAGAAGGTAAAATGCAAAACCCTTATGAAAAAATAACTGTTTCCAGATCTTTCAACATATAAGATCTAAAAGAAGATCTTTTGCTAAATATACGGAAATTTTAAGAGCTAATAAAATCCAATATAGATGGGTATTCCCAGTAAGACTTCTGCTTTACAAAGACTCTAAGACACACATAATAGAATCTCCAGAAAAACGACAATCATGGCTGCAAGAGACATTTGATTTCCGAAACCGAAGGCAATAATTAACTGGAGGGAGAGAAGAGAAGAACTGAAGAGAGAACATATAAATGTGATTCTTAAATATCCTTATATTAAAAAAAATTTAATTTCCTACCACTTCTCATAATTTACTTCAATTTTCGGGAGTGAGAAAAGGAAATAGAAACAAAAGCATTAAGAAGTTTTAGGTCATGAAAAATAGATTTTAGGTCAAAAATTATTTTCACTAAGCACAAGAGTAACATGAAAGGGGAAAAAATAAGTAACACAAAAAGTAAAGGGTCACGTAAAGTAAGATACCTCTTATGATGATAAAACAAATGATTTTTTGTGCTTTATTCAGTAATTTATTTACTGTTAAGAAGCTGGGAGGTGTAAATTTTCCTAAATGGTATGAAAACTTTGATGCTTCTGCGGTAAAAGCAGTTACCTGAAGAAGTTGATATAGGCTAATTATTTTGGCGTTCCTATACATAACAGGACGCTAACGGTAGAAGAAATCTATGAAGACAAAGTAAAGGAAATGATAGGAAAAGAAAAGAGAAATTTTTATGCCTTTTATGCCTCTTTTTTTAATATTAGTCATAAATAGCGGCATAGGAAAAGGTGCAAGAAAGGAGAAAAACATGAGATAAATCATAAGATATAAGAAATTATATGACACAACAAGAAGACTGAAAGAAAAGACATAGATAAAGAGTAAAAGAGAAAAAAGTTAAAGTATAAAGGGAGAAAAAAAAAAAAACCCACTAGAGAGACACAAACCAAGCACTTGCTAATAAGATTGCCCCCCTCCTTCTCTCTCTTTTTCCAAAAAATACCAATGAAAAGTAATCCCTCCAAGGGACCTTTTTACCCTGGGTACCTTGATCCGATACTCTGAATTGCCACCTGGGTGGTGACAATTGAACTTTTCAATTCTCTTACCAGTGCTTATGGGGGAACCACAGGAAAGGGATGTTGGTACTTTTTAAGTACTAGTTAACAGAGATTACCACTGCGATAGGTTTTATTACCTATGAGCAGGACCGCAATCAGGGCATGACAACCATAATGGTTGTCACGGGCCCGGCGGTGCTGGACTGCTCCGGGAGTCCCGGGCCCCACATTTCATATGTGCACATATAGATAGCGATTATCGCTATCTATATGTGCACCTGCGGGCCCCGGCTACCTGTACTATGTAGACGGGGACCAGCCAGCACCATCTTAACTCTCCAGCAGCTCCTGCGGCATGCAGGCACAGTTCGCGAGAGTTACAGGCACAGGAGCTGCTGAAAAATTAAGATGGTGCTGGCTGGTCCCCGTCTACATTGTACAGCGGCTGGCTCCTTTCACCAGACAACCAGGGATGCAATCCCCTCCCTTCCCTAGTCAGGTAAGAAACAGGGAGGGAGGGGTGGGGGGGGAATAAAATGGTGTTAAAATAAATGTAAATGCTACCAAAAAGGCTCCTTCTCCCTACCCCCAATGCAGCCCCCTATTTTACACACACTAAAACCACAACACACGCACTGCATACACCATACACACACTAAAACCCCACAAACACACACTGCATACACCATACACACACTAAAACCCCACAAACACGCACTGCATTCACCATACACACACTAAAACCACAACACAAACAGCATTCACCACTAAAACCCCAACACAAACACACTTTATCTAAAACACACACAACTATATCCATTATACAAATGTGCAATCTGTATCCCTTTTACACACCACACAGACGTGGGCAGACACTGGGGCGGGTCTGGGGGGCCCAGACTTTGAACTGCGTCAGGGGCCACAAAATTTCTGATGGCGGCCCTGCCTATGAGTGTTTGTTATATGTAATTATGGTTTTTCTGTATTTTAAATTTCTCTTGATGTCGGACTATATAAGGAGAGGTGGAGGCGTGGGCTGGACCCAAGATAATGGTTAAGTTTGCAACTCTGAATGTGTGGGGATTAAATTCCCCACACAAAACACCTATTCGCCTCCAATTATTTAAAAAACAGCGAATAGACATTTGTGCGATACAAAAGACTCACTGGAGGAGTTTAGACAAGTTTTTTTGAATAACTCTAGAGACTTTCCTATGGTCACTTCTTCCTCATTGCCAGATAGGAGAAAATGTGGTGTTGCATTTCTCTTTTCTCGCAACTTAGATTTGTGTATAAAACACTCCGAACAGGATTCTGAAGTGAGATATTTAATAGTGATTTGTATGATCGATAATATCCCTTATACATTGATCAACACATATTTGTCAAATGATGCGCCAATTACATTTATATTCAGATTTTGGGAAAGACCGAATAAGATAAAACAGGGAAATATTATATGGATGGAAGATTTCAATTGCGTAATGGACCCACAAATCTATAAACCGACACTGTTGAGTAGACAGATGGATGGGAATGTGCAGAGGCAAGCATTAAAATTCAGTTCCTTTGCCCAGGGGAATTCGTTATATGACACCTGGCGTATATTCCGTCCAAATGAGCGAGACTATACGTGTTTTTCCAAAACACATACTGCTTATTTGAGAATCGACTATATCCTTAAAGACCTAAATATCTTTCAAAGAGTCAAGAAAATTGATATATGCAAGATAACATGGTCAGATCATAATATAGTAATTATGGAACTGAAGGACAACTTTATTAAAAAACGACCAGAATGGAAACTCAAGGAGTTTCTACTAGAGTCTCCACAAAATAGAGGATACATTTAAAAAAAAACAAAAAACAAAAAAAAAAACACAAACCTTTACTTCCAAGAAAATACCTCTAATCACTTATCCCCAGCTACGGTTTTGGTATCCTTGAAGTGTGTGATCCGGGGCCATTTTATCAAATTAGCTTCCCAAATAAAGGAAAAAAAAAAAAAAAAAATCTCTCAGATCTCTATATCAAATTAGAGAATTTAATACGTTGTAACAAAATTAACCCTTCTAAGAACATCTCAGACCAGATTGACGATCTAAGATAAAAGTATTAATGAAAGAACAATGAAACCTCTAAGAAATTGGAAAAACGGAAATCTTTCCAATATTATAAGAGTAATAAAGCGGACAAGACTAATAAATTTAAAAATATTCAAAAAAACTAAAGCTATGTCTAAAATAATATATGATAATGAAACAAACCTTTCTCCTGATAAAATAGTTAAGGTTTTTGAGAAATATTACAGTAGTTTATAACATCCAATCCAAAGATCTTCCACAAAATACAGTCTTATTTCCAAGGGAAATAATTTAAAACGTTAACTTCTCTACAACTAGAAAAACTCAATGAACATTTCTCCAAGGAAGAAATAATAGAGGTAACCGACTACCTAAAAAAGCACCAGGACCGGATAGGCTGACAGCAATGTTCTATAAAAAAAAAAAAAACTTATAAATTAGATCTTGTACCAGACCTACAGATCACCTGTAATGAGTTTGCAGAGAAAGGAAGTCTTCCCGAAGACCTCCTAAGAGGGAATATCATTTTAAAGGGAAATATCATTTCAGAGGGAATACCATTTTAAAACCTGAGAAAAAAAATCCTTACAATGTAAGAAGCTATAGACCTATTTCCCTCCTGTATGAAGATCTAATACTTTATGCAGGCATTATGGCAGATAGACTCAAATCAGTTATCCCTAAGTTAATCCATATAGATCAGGTAGGTTTTATACCTGAGCGATCATCATTATGCCATATAAGAACGCTGTTTAACATTTTTGAGACCGTTAACGAAAAAGGGTCCCAATGCTGGCCCTGTCTCAAGATGCTGAGAAAGCCTTTGACAGGGTCAGCTGGGAATTCCTTTCGAATACCTTAAAAGCCTTTGGTTTTGCAGGTTGGATTCATCAAGCCATTATGGCTCTTTACTCTAATCCTACTGGGAAAGTAATAGGGCAGGGTATATCTTCCAACACATTTAAATAAACAGTACTAGACAAAGTTGCACGCTCTCCTTCCCCTACTATACATGATGACAATTAAAGTACTTGCCCTTGAGATAAGGAACAAAAAAATTAAAGGCTTCAAGGACATTGTGGAGATTGAAATAAAGCTCTACGCAGATGACATATTAATAGTCCTGGAGGATCCAATAAACTCTATTTATGACTTAATGAAGGTGATAAAATGTTATAGTCGATTCTCAAACTACAAACTAAATGCTTCAAAAACAACTGCTCTACCGTTTTTTTTTGTTTTGTTTTTTTAACATCACAGATGAAAAAAAAGGATCATGGAAAATGTTGTCTTCCTTAGGGCAAATAAACATTTCTCCTATTTGGGCTTGAAATTATCAACAAACCCGCAAAACTGGATGGAGATTAATCCGCTCCCCATGATAGATTTAAAAAAAATAAAAATAAAAATACCATATTACACACTTGGGGAAAAATAATATATATTACTGCCCAGAAGACCTTACTGAAGATGGAATCTCCCTATCAGCAACTCTTTCAGTTATGCGCACACCTCACCTACAAGTAATCTGAAATACATCAACTTTTGACATATTTAAAACCAGACTAAAAAAAATAAAAATGAAGAATTAAAACCAGCTTCTCCATAAAAATTCCCACGCCACAATATTTCACCTTATAGTAGCGTGTTTGGTTTGGTATTTAAATTAGGGTCCTAAATTTTAGAGGGCCAGAGAAAAAAAACTGTATAGTTAAAAAAAAATAATTCTACTATAGTACAAATATTTGCCATTGGATGCTTTAATATGTTCCTAAAGTGTAAATTCTAAAGCATTTTTAAAATAAAATTTGCAGATTTATGGGATCTCACCATGTTCATCTTTTCTGGAAATGATCTCCACATCATTTACGTTTCCAAATTTTTGGAACCGGTCAGTGAGTTCATCATTTGTGATTGACGGACCAATTCCACCAACATAGAGGCGCTTTAATGAGGTTTCCATGGACTCAGAAATGATACTTTAACGTTCTCCTGTAGAAATGCAAAACAAGCAACTTATAACACTATGAAAAATGTGGCAGCAAAGAATGTACACATCACCCCTAACACAATTATACAATGTAATTAAAGGGACACTATAGTGTCAGGAAAACAAATCAGTTTTCCTGACACTATAGTACCCTAAGGGTGCCTCCACCCTCAGGGTCCCCCTCCCGTGGCGCCAGGCTCCCTTACCTCTCCTCCCCCGCCGACAGTTGGCGAATTCCCCCCCCCCAGTAGCTATTTTAGTTTAGCGAATAACCCATATAATAACTAATGTGAGCAACAAGAGCCCAGCAATCATGCTGCAACACAGCAGTCCCCCCCCCCTTCTAAAATCTCTCTTTCATGGTATTCTGTCTGCAATTTGCATCCCAATACAGAATATCATTACACAGGTCACAGGGGAACATGTGTTTAGTTTATCATTCTTCCCATAAACAGCTCAATAAACCATTTCAAGTCCAGTGTGTCTCTAGGTCACTCTGCAAGTTCAGCAATAAGCAATACAATAAATATTTACATTACAAAACGTAAATTCAATAATAATTTTATAAAATGTATCAAAGAGGAAATGTTATGATCAATATAGCTCCAAACTTGTAACAGGGTAATAAGTAGAACATGCTTCACACTCACGTTGTCTAACTCACATCACATGCATCCGTGTCCGTAAAATGAAATCCCCCCGGAAACCTTTCCTCGGTGAAGAGTTCCGGTCTCACAAAATGGCACAACCGCTTCAGGAAATCTTTACTGCTATTTCCAATCCATTATAAGATTTTTTTTTTTCCACTAAACTGTTGGTCAAAAAACAAGTATTTCCATGTAAATAAACATTAATGTTACTGTAAAGCTACTGTAGTTTGCAACGCAGAGCCTGCACTAAAGAGGTTGTTAAACTACATTTCCCATAATGTCACGCTTATTCACCCAGTGTTGGTGGGTCACGGGAATTGTAGTCCGTGTTTTCCGAGGGAAGTTAAAAAGATGGGCACACTGGATTGAACCATTTATCTGTAAATTGAGGGGAGAAGGGTGGCGTTCTATTTCAGTTAAGTAGGTTTACGTATATTCTACCACAGTAGTCACTACCAGCTGTCAGAAGGGAGCCTGAACTCTTACTGTTGTGAAGCCCTTAGGCTGAGGGATCTGTTACGTAAGAGAGGAGGTAGTGAGTACCCTGACTGCCCCTCCAGCTGTTTGGAAGGTGCCAGCACCAAACGGAGCCGCGCGCTGAATTCGAACTGAACTGTCACAAGAGGACTCCAGTGTAGGTATGGGACAACTAAGTGTTCAGAGGGGCGGGGCTGAGCTGAGACCGGAGTGCATGATGGGAGAAGCTGGGTCAGTACCGCAGGGGAGAGGCTAGAAAATAGTAAAGCGCGGGAAATCTCAGTTTTTTTAAAGGACACACGGTGGGGTGGGGGTAACGGTGCTGGTGAGTGGGTACCAGGCAAGTGCCTTGTTGGAAGTGGATTCAGTTTTAATGGTGTGTAATAGGCAGCCACTGGTTAGCTATTAATGCTGTCCATTTACATCAAAAGAGATATAAGCCAACTTGATGATAAAGCTTTTATACACGTGGGCACAACAATCTAAGCACTGAAAGAGTGTAACACTGCTCCTTCCCACTTACTGTAGTTTAACCCCTTAAGGACCAAACTTCTGGAATAAAAGGGAATCATGACATGTCACATGTCATGTGTCCTTAAGGGGTTAAAGGACCACTATAGGCACCCAGACCACTTCAGCTTAATGAAGTGGTCTGGGTGCCAGGTCCAGCTAGGGTTAACCCCCTTTTTTTTTTTTATAAACATAGCAGTTTCATAGCAACTGCTATGTTTATAATAGGGTTAATCCAGCCTCTAAAGCCTCTAGTGGCTGTCTCATTGAAAATCACAGTGAGAACACGCAAGCGTCCATAGGAAAGCATTGTAAATGCTTTCCTATGAGACCGGCTGAATGTGCCTGCAGCACTTGCCGCGGGTGCGCATTCAGCTGAAATGGAGGATCGGAGGTGGAGAGAAGGGGGAAAGCTCCCTGCCCGGCACTGGAGAAAGAGGTAAGTTTTAACCCCCTTCCTCTCCCCAGAGCCGGGCTGGAGGAGGACCCTGAGAGTGGGGGCACCATCAGGGCACTATAGTGCCAGGAAAACAAGTATGCTTTTCTGGCACTATAGTGGTCCTTTGACTAAATATTGTTTATATTTGTGTTTTCCCTTCTTCTTTTGCTTTTACACCCCCCACCAAGACACACACACACACACACACTCTCTCTCCCTGTCTCTCTCCCCCTCCTTCTCCTTACTTTATCATCAAGACATAAGTGACAAAGTTTGAACTGAAAACCAGGTGTAACTCCACCTCCGACAGTAACACTGGGCTGTCATCAGCCAGCCTGAGTAGGAGATCTTGGCTGGCTAATGTCAAATCTGTGCATATACCTGTGCAGAGCATAGCATTCATTGGCTGATGCTGGCTGCATCGGCTTCTGCGGCTCTGCAGAAACTGAATGTTGTCACTGGCCATAATGGATGCTCGGACGCCAGCGGGAACCCAGGTAAAAAGGGAAAACCATTGCAAAATTAGGAGGTAATGTGTGTATGTGCTGGTTCATTTAAATGCATTTTTGCCATTTTGAACTTACTGTGTGATACATTATACCTGTAAAATCTGAATTGGCCATGCTTTTTGTCCTTGCAGACGATAGTATGCAGAACAATATGATTGAAGCATATCAGGAAGAGATCAAAGCCTTGCAGGAAGAGATCTCTGAATTAAAACAGAAGTATAAAGAAAATGAGAAGGAAGTTATTTACCTTTCCAGTGTAAATTTTAAGAAGACTTTGTAAGTATACGGCTAACTCTGAAGGGTATGGGAAGCATGATATGTAATCATTTATAATTAGCCACAACTTAGTTCTGAGAATGCAAAGTTGTATTCCTAGCATTATAGTGCACCTCCCCCATGGCACTGAAAGGGTTAAAAACCTGTCACTTAACTGAATCCAGTGCCGATGTCCCTCAGCGCTGGGTCAGACTCCGCCTTAGCTCCTCCTCCACCGACGTCAACTGGTGTGGGGGGTGCCTAATATACATGTGCAGCAAGATTGCATTACTACTATCCCATAGGAAAGCATTGAATCAATGCTTTCAATCATGGGGTTTTAGCTGGCGCTGGATGTCTTCATGCAGAGCATGAGGACATCAAGGTTCAGTTAGGCGACCAAAAGTTTCCTAACCACCGGAAAGTGCCTCTAGTGGCAGCCACTAGAGGTAGAGTTAATCCTGCAAGGTAGTTATTGCAGTTTATCAATAAATGTAATAATTACAATTGACCGAGTAAAACTGCCAGGGACACTGCACCCAGACCATTTCAGTGAGCTGAAGTGGTCTGGGCGCCAATAGTGTCCCTTTAACACCACCTGCCTAAAATCCCCCTTGTGCTGCCAAAATAGCTCTGATAATCTGAGGCATGGATTCCACAAGGCCTCTGAACATGTCTTTGTCATGGATAGAAAGCTAATCATTCAGAGTAGTCTGACCACCAAGTCTTGAGAGAAGTGAAACTATATCCCTCCTGTTATTTCTCAGGCCTCAGCCCTATGGGATGGGGATATGGCTGCCCGGTCGCTAGTTTTGTTTTGTAAATATGCTCCCACCTGTCAAATGACAGGTGGGGGGGGCATATGGAAGTTTATTACCTTCATTATAGTAATATGTGGGATTCTTTGTTTATTTATTTATTTATTTATTTATATATATATATATATATATTATATACATATATATTTTTACTTTTGTAATGTGGCGTTTGGCTTGCCAACACATTCATTCTCACGCTGCCAATGGTTTTTAACTATTTGCCCAGTGACTGCAATGCTGCCAATGGGCAGATAGTTTGCCTTTAAAAGAAAATAAAAATAAAAAAAATCCGGCCCAGATTTTATTAATTCAGCCATCAGGCGGCGTTCAGCCCAGCTGAAATTTGGATTAGCCCAGCTGAAATCTGGACCAAATTCAAGCCGATTTCAAACTTAAGTGAATAACCCTGCTAGTTGCACATTCGTTTTAAATTCATCAAAATTCACACTTTAGCAAGCCTTTGTGTTGGAAAAAAAAATGCACATTGTTATATGGTTACAAATGATAAAGACAAACATTCACACCCACATAAGTACTTGCGTTATTTTAGGTTGTTATAAGGCAGAGGAGTATATTACTTTGAGGGGTTAAACTGCTTTGCAATGGTTTAACCCCAAAGTTGTGGCTCACGCGCATGTCACCACTGCCTCCCAGCTTCCTTCTTTTCTGCCTTCGTAGTATGCAAAAAGAATAAGCCAGATGACCTGTGATATTAATGTTGGGTGCAGGAGCACATCTGCAGGCTTAAACCGTTGCAAAGGTATATCTACTATTTAGTAGATATACCCTCAATTATAACATGCATGCATTTAATATGCATTTTTTTCATTGAGAGTATAACTAAAAACAGTTTGCAAAACGGTAAATCTCTTGTCTGAATTATCTTGTCCAGTCACAGACTTTCCAATGCTGCTTAACCCCTTAAGGACACAGTTTCAGAAATAAAATGGAGTCATGACGGAATGTTTCCGTCATGTGTCCTTAAGGGGGTTAATACGAAGGCAGGTGCTCTGAGCAATTGTCTGCCACTTGAATTTAGCTCAACTTAGCTAAACAACTAGGAAGTAAGAGCACCAGTTGTCTGTTTGACAGCCAGAGGGTGCAACAAGATTAATTTATATTGCAATATGCACTTTTTGTAAAATTAAAAAAGAGGGCACACTCTTCACACATAAACTGGGTGACCAGATCCACCATGTTTACCGGGACACATATACATTTGTCATATTTATGAAAGCACATGAAAAGGTGTTGGTAATATAAAAAAAAAATAAATAAAAAAAAATAAAAAAATAAAAATATATATATATATATATATATATATATATATATATATATAATATATAATCATATTCTGCAGGATTTTTCATTGCTTCACCTAATACACCTTCTTCTGAATTCTGCATACTACAGGGCTACTCTTTTCATGTGCTGCCCATCAATATGAATATATGATATGTGTCCCCAAATACATGGCGGGTCTGGTCACCTTAAGTGGGCTAGAGTGCTTTACATGTGTGAAATGTCCATTTAAATTTAACTTAAATTGTTAAATAGTGGGAGGGTTCCTTTAATGTAGTTTTGCATTGGGGAGCATCTTTTGTAATAATATGTATTTTGAAGGACTGCTTCCTTGCCATCTTCAAAAAAAAAAGTCTGTCATACTGTGGCGAATTGGTGGCTTTCTATAGTTTATCTATCTATTTTACAGATTATCATATCACGGAAAAACAGTAGCTGACCATGAGCTGAAAAAGGAGATGGCAGTAATGACTCCTGACCTTGACCACTGCACAGATGAAATTCAGTTCTTTAACAATATCTCTGGTATACATTTTACCAAATACTTCAAGAAAAGAGAGCACAAGTGTAAGTAGTGAGTTTAATTTTAGAATGGGTTTGCTGTCATTCTAAATCTAAAAATCCAATAAAGCGTTGGGAAAAATAAATACTTAATATTTTGGGTCAGGATGCATAGAGTGTGCAAAATAAAAAAGGGGAGGAGGCATCAACTTCTTTGTAAGCTGAAAACAATAGGACAGGTTAGCCCACTGTCTTGCTGTCTAGATTTAACTTCATACTTCAGAATTATGAAGGCTGCTGA